TTGTTGTTGTGAGGAGAGATAAGTTCCAGAAAATATACTGCTTCTCGAACGCAAGGGAGAGGAATAATCACGCTAGCACCAGGATTTCTGCGTCATCTGTATTTTGTATTATTCCACGCGTTTATCTTTCCTACAATCTTGATTTTCTCTTTGTAACGATTTGAGTCTCGTAAATAAGGATGAAATTAGTTACACTATTTCGTAAGATAATTATTCACAGTTTTCATTTTCGGATTCTATTAAGGCAAATAACACACACACACACCGACTTTCACCACAAACACACATTGAGATTTTCGTTAGAGAAAACAAAATATTCTATATTTTTCCAGTTATAATTTGAACTATTATATAATGACCAACGGTCGTACACGGGAGCAAAAACGGTTGGAAGTGAAGGTGTTGCGTTCAAGTCCCGAGAAGCGGGCGTGAGTCTGGGTGCAGATTCTCGGAATGCCTAGCAACCGGATTCGTGTACACGGCCAACAACAAATTAACGAAATGTGTTGCCGACCTTCCATTCTCCAGCGCGGGTGCACTGGTCACGTAACTAGCTATATATAAGTTAGCGGCGAAAATCGGCTTGTCGGGATTCGATAACGAATGAAATGCTTCGGCTGATGCTATTGTCCACCCATGCGATTGGCTCGCAAGCTTGACTATGCGTTTGTCTCTGCTCATAGACTACAGACCAGAAAAGGCGACGCGAAATTGATGAAAATTATTGTTCAGCAATCAATGGCAGGATAGCTATTTTCTGACTTCAGGAGTGAAGGGAGGATGACTTCGATACATGGGACAGACACGCATTCTAAAGCAGTCGTTTATTGTGTAGACCGGAGGTAGAAGACACAGAGAGATCATTATAGAAACTGAAATGTGGTAAGAAGCAGAACAGGTATGAAGCCATCCCTTGAGTAGAGGAGAAGATGACCATAAGGGGTGATCTCTGTTATTGTTTATACGAGCATAACTGCGTCATCTCAGGGCCATGTACTATAAAGACTAAAAAAGGATACTGTTATTTTTTAATGGTGAGTTATTGCAGAAGCTAAAAAATTAATCTTAGACGTAGCACGCTTTAACCGCCGGCCTGCCGTTGCCAACCGCGCTGACAGAGGGCCCACAAAAGGCGGCTGGTGACGCAACCCGGCAGAAGAGGAAATAAGGGGGGGGCGAGGTGTTTTTCGTAAATTTCACTTTACGGGACGCTCCTGCTCGTCCGATTTGCATGATTGTCACGGCGTTGGATTCAGAGTAGTCGCCATCGCGGCTATAAGTCACATTTTGAAAATTTGTTCTCGAGAAGTTTTGAGAATAATTAAATTCGCGTTTTTGTTAGATTTTTGGAACAAAGTGGTCATCGTAGCGTAAATTCTATTTTAAAAAGTTCAAATGCCGTTTACAGATCGAAAATCGAACAATGGTTCAGACGTTATCTGAAAGTAAAATTTTACTTATTTTTGGTGCTGCCACGTGGTGTGGTGGCTACAAATTGTACTAGTGTCGGGACATCTAGCCTTAACATGACCAAGAATTTTCCCCTTCAAAACAGGATGTTCACAAATTTTTAGGTAATTATAAGTTTAATCAAGAAAACAAGTTATGTACCTTTTATTTATTAACGAAAAGGAAAGTACTTACTAAAATAAATTATGTATGTGTTTTCATATTTTTCTGAAGCTCCAAATAATGAAATTCATGGCCAAATTTTTAAGTTTACTTTGATCATTAGTGTCATTGCTTTAAGAATTGCAACTTATAACTGTTTTTTTTTTCACTCCCACAACTTATTTTTAACAGAAAAAACCCTTTTAAATGCATGAGATATGCGTGCAGAATATTCATATGATTGAAATGTTTGGCATCAATGTAGTTGAACAATTCCATCAAACGACTTTTGTGCTGAAACATTTTCATCCTGTCACTTTTTGCAGGGTAAAATAATTAGAAATCATGAATGCTTCTGTTGAATATATTGATTTTTCATGCAGTTTTACTTTCTCGAACTCGAATAGAAAATATTTGTAATGCTGCCAAAAAAAATAATGTTGAGATTTTGGTGGGAATACAGATTTTTGGGGGTCTGTGAAGCATTATTTTGTATTATACATTTTATTTGTATTAAAAACCCAATTTTTTTTCCTTCAAAAACTGTTGATGTGTGTGAAACACTTGAACCTTAATTCATAGGATTTTCACCAAAATGGATTTCCCTGATAAAGTTGGTTGATGATGTGGCCCCTTGAGTTTGAAATGATGTTTTAATGATTTTGGGCTAACATAAAACACTTAGGCAATTTTTAAAATTTTCCTTAAATTTGTTCCAAATTTTCTCCTTAAATAATTTGCTAGAATAGAGCGAAGTATACTCATAGTAATGGCACTGATCTCTCAATTTCGGGATTTCAATGGCATTACACGTTACACACTCTTGATACTGAAAAAGTTCTTTTTTTCAAAACTACCATCTGCCTGTGAACAATCCTCGCACCTAAACTACTCATAGGATTTTTTCCAAAAGGAATATTTCGTGGTCTATCTGGCCTGGCTGGACGCTCTGCACTTTTGAAAATCATACTTTAAATTTTGAGTACTTTACATTGACATTATCAACATTTTCTCAAAAATGGCTCCAAATTTCTTTTTCAATTTCTTGTAAGAATGGAGTGAAATACACTTGTAATTATGACACAAGTCCATTTTTCACTGATAACTGAAATTTTGTAAAAATTGAAATTTTGCTGGGTGTTCCTTCAACCACAATGTTGGAGATAGCTATTTTTTATTCAAATAAAATTTATTCTCTGCAATTCAGTCTTTCATTACAGTAGTACATTTCTTCAAAGTTTTTGTACTTTTTGCACAATTTTGAGTGAAATATGGGCAATATTTAACTAGTAGTGCTACAGAATGGCACAGACTTTCTTGTACTCACTAGTTTTCTAATTTCTTCAGTGCGGGCTTGCTTCACGGTCTTGCTCTACCTTCTTGCCAGGTGCCATCTATTGCCACCCAGAATACATTTTTTGAAGTGTTCATAATTTTTCGGTTTCCTAATGGAAGATTTGAAATATGACTTCTATAATATTAAAGAAGAGTAAAGCCTCGTCGTATATGGAAATTTTCATTAAAAAACCTAGAACATTTTTTAAGAAAAAATTGTTCAATTTCAAGAGTAAATGCAAAATTTGAAGCTCTTTTTCACAAAAATCTTTTGAGTTTACGAAAAACTTAATTGGAAGTCCTCTGAAAAAATTCCACATACAAATGCAATAATATATACAAATCTCTGGAAATGTGCATATTAATGGTATGAGAGATATTTAAAAAAAAAATTACATTTGTGTATTTTTTGAAAAAGAACAAAAGAATACCACAAAATGAATATGTCATCTTAAACAGTGCAATTAGCACTATCCGTATGAAAAGTTTGAAAACAAATTTGAAGCCGTTTTTGAGAAAATGGTGTTTAAGTGTTGGCTGAAATGCGGAATTTTGAATTCATTTTCACATAAAACTTTTGAGTTTTTGAGACATAGTTTATAACATTATTTAAAGCATATATACTCTTAATTGCAATAACATGAACCAGTGCTGGAGCTAGATACTTTTGGGCTCAGGCCAATGCTGAAACAAAGCCCCTCCCTGTGAAAAAATTGAAAATGTGAAAGTTGTGTCAAGTATGCAAGTTATTTTATTTCAATAACAAAAATTTAAGCTAGAAACATTATTTGGATATATATTTTAAATAATAGTTTAAGTAAAAGTATTTAGTGATGAAATAGTACAATTTTCACAGTGAGCTTAAAATGCTTAAACATTTTATTGTGTTTAGTTAGTGTTTAATAAAATCACTTGTTTGTACATGGAATAATGAATATGAATTTTAGTTGAACCCATTTGAATGTTAATGTCATTTTGTTAATTTTGTAGTCATTCCTCATAAGTAATGACTATAATTAACTATTAAAGTAAAAAATTAATTGAAAATTTTATGAAATATCAGACTACTGTACCCTGACTTATAAAATTAAGATAACAATTTATCCAAGTTTTAATTTTTTAAAAATTTTTTTACTAATCTTTCTCATCAGATTCACCATTGGACCCCAGGTGATTGCGTGATCTGCCCATGCCCAGCGCAGGCACTGATACTGATTACTGCTAATGTGAATATTAAAGACGTGAGAGGCTAGCCAAAAAATTACATTTTTGTAATGTTTGGAAAAAACAAAAGAATGGCATACAGGTCAACTAATAGAGTACATTTAGCAATATCCTCAACAAAAGTTTAAAGAAAAAATTTGAAGCCATTTTTGAGTAAATCTTGTTTATGTTATTTTTTTAAATTGCATGAAAATTAGAGTTTACCCCAGAAATCAGATCTACACCACCTTTTTATGTGTATTTTACTCAATTTTTATATGAAATTTAGATAAATAATTTGGAGTTGTTTTTGAGAAAATTTGAAAATGTCCCAGGGGCTTCATGATTAGTAATTATTGATAATGAATAATAAATTTTAAAGATTTTTGTAAAAATCTCAGAACTTTGATTCAAGCCGGATCAACAGGGGTTTCTTCAATGTGGAAAAAATCTACGTATGATTTAAGCGTTAGTGGTGTTCATGGACAGATGAACGGATGTTTTGCCGTCAATTGGTTTTTCATTGTCAAGGACCCACAAACTGGGGATTCTGGTTACACCATGTGCTAGAGGCTTCCTCCCCCCCATTAAGCAACTGAATTTATCCACCTTTTCATTATCAAGGCCTGGCAATTAATTTTTGTTGTTGAAAATCCGTCTTTAGCGATAGTGCTAGATGCACTGTATAAAATGATGTATGCACCATTTTGCTGTATTCTTTTGTTAAAAAAATACACAAAAATAATGTTTGTGATATCTCTACCAGCTATTTGAATACATTATGGCATTTGTGAGAATGAATGCTTCAAATGAGGTCTTATAAAGTTTCTCAAAAACTCAAAACTTTTCTGCAAAAATAAGTTCAAAATTCGTGATTTTCAGACATGGTCAAACTTCATTTTCTGGAAAACGGCTTAAAATTTGTTTGTACAGATAGTGTTAAGTGGACTGAATAACATGACATAAATGCCACTTTGACGAATTATTTTTTTGAAAGGGCTTAGTGAAATAAGATACACAAAAGTGCCTATGTTATTCCGCTACCCCTTTTGTTCTAAAAAATTACCTCTTTAAAAAATATCATGTACATTTTTGGGAAAAACGAGTAGTTTTCCCAAAATTTGTTTAAATTTAATGCATTTTATATTAAAAAAATATCAAAAACTGATTAAAATTTTTTCTTAACATTTTTTCCTTGTGTAGCAAAAAACATAAATAAAATGTTGCTGGTCCCATTTTTGCCAAACTAAAAATTTTTGGAAATTGCAAAAGTACAATATTGATGCTAGAGATGTTTTTGTTAAATGAAAACTCTTTAAAAAAATTTAACAAGTTTGAATTTTCCACACCTCTTTTGTTAGAATCTTTTGGGGGTTATCACCTTGTATTACAATGGGAACACCATAACCCGTCAGTTTGAAGTTCTCAGAATAACTTATTGTTGTGGGTGATTGTTTCTTGGTATAGGGTGAGAGTATTGGATTGTTGAATTTATGTTGACGACCTTTTATTAAATTAAATTTTTGCTCCTAATGTGCTACTGTCGATGGTGGGTTTTACAAGGGGTGCCCGAGTCGGAGATGTTAATGTGGATGGCAGTATTATATTTTTACATAATTATTACTGATGTGAGAAACTACATGCTGCTGCTGTAGCACCACTATTTATACCTTCCCACTACTCATTTGATTATTGATTAATTATGATTTGTGAATATTATCCTCTCCTACATTATTTCAGTAGTGTGGATGAGTTTTGTGGCTCTCACATTCAACCAATCTTTATAAATGATGTCTCTAAAGAAAGAGAATTTTATGTAGACATGATGAATTGAACTTTAAAAATATGAAGGATTTTTTTGAATAACATGTATCAAATGTTCATCAAAAATTCATGTCAGATGAAACCTAAAACACTCCAGAATCATTCGTTGTTGAAATCTGTATAGTGATATAACTCCAAAATGAAGCATTCTAGGGCTTTAAACCTGGAATTTTGAGACCAAAGGTTTCAAAGAAACATTCTTCACTCCATAATGTATAGGTATGAGATTTTCTTGAACATTCTATTACATTTGCTGCTTCAGTGCTTTTCGATATTTTATTGCATTGCAAAGAGCAGGGTTGACTTGCCCAACCTGTAATTTCATATGGACAACTTAATGTAGCTTTCTGAAGAGTAAAAAGGTTTTCTAATAATTTTGTGATTATCAAGGACAGCGAAAAGCAAATTCAAATATTGTTTTAAGGAAGTGTTGCGAATTATTCCAAGAACAACTGTCTATAATACTGAATAAATCCTTGTTGAAAATTTGATTCAAATATCATTTGCATGTTTTTTAATTTTAATTTGATATTCTGTAAGTTCATTAGAAGTTTCCTTTATACATTGTTGTTATTGTTCTTTTTCTTCTTATTATTATTATTTTAAGAAATTTGTTTATTTATTTTTAAAATTCTTTAAAATGTTTTGTAACACAATTGAGGTAATAGAAAAGTTTAAGAAATTTGAGTTTCATGCCATTCAAGTTTCTTGTAACATTTTTAGGACTGATAATCCTCATAATTCTATGGTTCTCCATCTCTAGGAAAGCTCTAATTTACCTACTGGTACCACTCGTAATTTTCTTCAATTCTGTCTTATGCAAATGAAGAATATTTGGTAATATTCACTATTATTAGTTAGGAACACCCATTTATGAGAATATCCTTCTTCAACTTTGGAGTATTATGTGGTATATTGCAATAAGAGGAGAAATCAAAGTAGATTGAAACACAAGTACTTAACAAATTATGATGATTTTTATATCATCACGTTTAATATGTTAATTTTATAGGTAATGTGTATGTAGACATACATAAAGGAACCATGGTTGCATTGGTATTAAAATGAAGTTGAATAATGCTAAATGTTAACTCTCATTCAATAGGGTCTCTCAAAAAGTGTTTTCCTGATTGGGCTAAATATTAATTTCTAATTTGATTGTAAACTTATTAGTTTGAAGTTCATTTTCTGTTATGCTGAATGAAGATAAAGTGATTTTGTTTTAATTTGATATAGAACTTTGTCAATCATTACGCATTTGGTCAACCATTATCTTATTTTACAGTGGTGCTGAAGACAAACATGGATATTTATGGGATCGTCATTATGGCACTTGCCTTGCAAAATTTCCACATGTTGATGTTGTGAATTCAGTGGCATTCAACCCATGTGATCCTGAAATGTTGGTAACTACTTCAGATGATTTCACCATCAAAGTGTGGAGATCCAGGAACAGAGTTCAGGAACTGGGACTTGATGGTGGAAAATTTACTCGTGGTCTGGAGATTAGCCAACGAAGGAAACACTGACCCAACTAGATGAATTCAAACTCTAGGTGTCAATCTTATGTCACATTAATTGCTTAAATTGTTGATACTGGGACTCTGATATGGTAAGGTGAGTCCTTTCTCAAAATATTAAATCTTATTTGTGATATTAAATTGATGGTAAATGTATTACCTTGTTGTATACTGATAACTGTTCTACTCTTGGGTATTTCATGTGTGAAACAAATTCAGTCTACTTTCAGTCATTTTTTTTTTAATATACAGATTGAAACAAATTAAAGAAGAATGTGTTTATGTACGACTTAGCACATACCTCACTGTTTTTGTGGGAAATCAAAAACTAAGTTTTATTCTGTGAATTGTGTAGCACTTAAGTGCAGCTATGATGTAAAAAAAGTGGATTTTTTTTTTCATATTTAAAAAATATATATATTTCCTTGTTTGTCAAGTTTAATTTATATTCTATGAAACATCCCACTTATGAATTCCCTGGAACCAACGGGCAGTTAAATTTTACAATCCGTTTGCAAGTGTCCAAATTGGTGATCTTTGATGATAGAACCAGAAATTTGAATCATGCATGTTGTTTCAGCTATGTCTCATGATTACTTGCAATAATTACATTGAGAAAATTGTGTTTTATAAAAAAGAAAAAAAAACACCTGATAGATGACTTCAAAAATATCATACCTGTGATATAAAAGTGATACCTGTTTCTAAATGAACATTTTTTTGTTAAAAAATTTTGTAGTAGTATTTCACTCTATTCTTACAAACAATTGTAAGAAAAAATGTAGAACCATTTTTGAGAAAATTGTGAAAATGTTCCAGGGACTATTCAGTTTGGAAAAAATTCTACCCATATTTTAGGCACTAGTGTTGTTCACAGACAGGCAGATGTTTTGGAAAAGAAAGAGAAAAACAAATTGTTAACGAGAAGCCAAAACATATTTCCATTGAAATCTTGAATCGATTTTCCCCAGGAAGTAACTTTCTCTATACCATGTAGATGAGAAAACATAATTGTTTTTGCAATAATAATAATAATAATAAATAATAATAATTTTTTGAAGCCCTTAAAACCAGTGTGGGTTGCCAAAAAATTACACAAGAGAGACCTTTATATCATTTCTCTTTTATGATTTTTTATGAACAAATATATTCATTCAGAATCCACAAGTTAGCTCCAATAGCTTGCTGTGTAGTGACATTTTGATTATGAGGAATGTTTTTCACTCCACAAAATCATTGAAAAGTGCTTAATTTAGACTTTCTAAGATTACACTCCCTTATCTCCTCAACCATTTAAGTGAATCAATGAAATCTGCCAACCCTTTACAACATTACAAACTGGAATAAGGAAGTTTTTTATGTTTGAAGCTTGCCTTTCCAACAAAGCAGGAAATACATGTATATTTTGAAGAAACTTATACTGTAGCCTATACAAATTACTCAAAATGGTAATGCAATTAATTACTGCCCTCTGCACACAGTTGGCTTGTATTGAATTACTAAAAGCCAATCTCACTGACAGGTGTGACAGTTTTAATTACATACTAACAAACTATGCTTACAGTTTCATGTTCACATTTCTTACATTACAACTTATGTCAGCTAAAAAAAGTAAAATATATTTATGCCAATGTTGGGTAATTCATGACCTGTAAATTGTTACTGAACTAGCATGAAATTAAAAAAAAAATTGAATATATTATAAAAATGACAATTGCCCAGTTACGATGTTTCTTTGTTTCAACCGTACTTTTATTAGAAGAAAAGCATCTACAAATGCACACTCGGGCAGTTTTGTGATGAAAGATTTTCTGCTAGAGTATTAATTATTCTCTACAGAAAGAAATTGAATTTTATGTTGATTCAGGTAAATGACAATGCCAAGTTGACTTACAAACTAAAATGAAACAAATAAATGTTAGAATAAGTTTTATTTTCAATATTCTATACTACATCTTTGCAGTTCTCTATGAGAAGAAAAACTTGAATGAGGACATTTGAACAACTAAATTGATTATTGGTACACAGATGACACATTACTTTAATTATAGGAATTCCAGAATCTTTAAAAATTTTCTGTGACATTTAAAACCAATGAAAACTACATTTAATTCCATGAAATAATATTTCGAGAAAAATTATTTGATACATTTTTTAAAGAGACATATTACATGTGACTTATTACATTATATTTACATTTAGTACACATAATAAGCATTAAGTAAATATCTACAAATTATTACACTTTTTTTTACTTAGTACCACCAATCTACTTTTCTCATTCAAATACTCTCAATAAATAAATTCTCAGTCTGAAGGTTCTGAAGGGGGTCAGCAGTTCACACATTTGTTGAACACATTACATATACACGTCAGCTTAAATTAATTCAAAAGCCTTGTGTATACATATACATTATGTGCCTAGTCATGCAGCATTTGTTTCACAGGATTATTTCCACCTTGCCATTATGTTTTCATAGGTGGCTGTTCTAAAATAAAAAGAGACAAAATAGTTATTTACGTATATAGGGCATTCAGTGGAGGTTGACTCGAAGGGTTGAAAGTTGCCTGAGGGGCAAAATCATCTAGTAACGCCCTTAGTGCATACAAAACTTTATGGTTTACTAGTTTGTTGCTGAATCAAACGAGAATTCAAACATTTTATAACTTTTCTTGAAGTATTGTCTTCGTCATTTGTGAATATAACATCATATTAGCAAAACCACTTTTATCTCATTACAACTGCATACTTGTTGGACTGATTTGTTTGTACAAAATGAATGAAAGTTGTGAAGATCCTGCAGAAATTCTTACAGAACCTACAGATAATGGTGTATTTAAAAGTTATACGGAAAATAACAGTGTAAATTGCATTGATGAAATGGTACTTTTGGGTTTCTTGCCTCTAACACCAAAAGTTATTTAGAATGTTTCTTAACTTCAAAAACTAACATTTTGAGGATGTTAGTGGATGTGCCTTATACATCTGATTACTACTACAAGTAGTACTGCTTCTCAAACGCTCATAAAATATCCCTTAAAAAGGTGATACGTAACAGTGAAATTGAATGTCTGATGGCAATTACAATTAACCAGGAACATTCCAAAATTGCCATATAATGAGGTATTTTCTTGCATCTTAACTTTCAGAAATAGAATTCTTAAAAATATTGTATGTATTGTATTGGCATTATAGCAATCCATGGAGTGTTGAAAAGACCCTTGGGCATAAACATTACAGTGTGGACAGTACCGTTACATGCTTTGTTTCAGATCCGTAAACACACAGCAATGAACTAGTAAACCATGAAAGATTACTTGTTTTGGATTAGGAAGCAAATACATGCACAATTTTTTGGTACATTTTTTTTATTTGGCGACATGCTTCATTGCTGCAAAGGAAGTTGACTGGATAGGATAAATTATTCACTGTTTTTATATGGAATAATAATCATTTAAAACTTGTCTAGTTTCTGAATGGTAGTAATCAGGAAAAGCTGAACAGCCTCTGATGAAAACTTACTAGACAAAGGAAAAATACTCGATTAATACAACCACTTGCAATCTTGTGTGAAGAAAACAATGGCACCATAGAGCTTTTGTGAAGGTCCACTATTATTAACAATTTCATGGCTTGTCTGTCTCTTAAAATATTTGACAATATGTTGATTAGGAACTTCTTTAAGATTGTATTTTATGCATCAGTATTATTTTTGAAACTGGGAACTGCAAGAATACAAGAGGTAGGGCAATGTGCCATTATTCTTGTATTGTGTCATTTCCAAGGAAATATCTCATGTATAAGGTAATTAAGAGATCTTGATTGACTCACAAAAATGTAAACTGCAAAGGGATTTTGGTTACAGAAGTTCCTCAATGAGTTCTATTCTTTATTCGTGAAATATATTTTTCTTAACATCCAGAAATAAAGATGCCATTTCAGAATATTATATAGATTCAAGACCATTTACTTGTGCATGGCACTGTGATGAAACAAATTCATGGACTCCCAATAGGTCAACTATAATTAGGAATTCTCACCACCATTTTGTGAACTGCTTGTACAACCCCCATCTTGCTCTTCATTAGATTGATCAGGGCTCTCAGGAGCATGATGGTGATGATGATCACATTCTTCATTAGGAGTATCACCTTGACTGTGTTTCTTCTTTTTTTTTTCTACATGACCAAAACAATGTTCACATTCTTCATCTGATGATGATGAAGATGAACTCTCATCAAATGCTTTAGGTTTTGTGTATTGGCAACAGCCTGGAAAGTCATGAATATAAGCATTTAAAATCACACACAAAATCTATTCCTAATGAAATATACCTGGAACATCTTTACCACTTTGTAGTTTAATAATTTCTATGCCTAATAATAGTTGACATTAATTTAATTATAGTACTTACATTTTGATTTTTTGCGGTTTAAGTGTTCATTATCCACAGTTCCTGTAGTCCACTGGACTGCTTTTCTAGTTTTGGGCTTTCGAAGTGTAAGCCTGACAGTTCGTACATCCTAGAAACAAAAGAATTTGCAGGAATTTTTCTTATTTACTCAAGAAACAATTGAATCAAGGAACATTATAACTAGATCTGGGTCTTATAGGCACTAAGAAGTTGAAATGCAAGAAAAATGGTACTTAAAATTTTTTAAATGAAATTAATTTCTGATAAACACTGCAATCTTAAATTACGTTCATGTGAATGTTCTACAAAAAACTTTTGATTCACCGAGGCGATTCCTTCCAAGTTTTGAATGCTTTTGAATAGCCATTACAAAAATAGGCGGTTTCGCAGTTTCAAAATGTTAACACAAATTTGGTTGCAACTAAAAAATTAGTGATATTGGAAATGTTGAATCCTGCATCTAAGCACACTGGTGCCCGGTGGGGCAGATTCTGTTTAATAAATGATTACGATCAATAATACCTGGATAGTGTCAGGAACTAGGCTAATATTTAAATAAAAAAATGAATTATGTAACTTAACAGGGTGGCCACTTTCTGTAAAACATTGAAAAACAGAAAAAAAATCAGGGAACTTGAAGAATTGATAGAAGTCAGGGATAATTTGTAATGTAACTGGACATTTTTCCTTTCAAAAATACTCCACCAAATAATAGTGACTCAATTTTTATTTACCAATTTTTTTTTAAATTGTACTTTATCGTTGTGAAATCGGAGCACTTTCAAATTAGTGTGAAATACTCTACCAATCTTATAAGTGTAGCGAGAAAAAAAAAATTACATTGGAAAACTGATCAAGTCAGGGAAATTTGTTTTAAGAAATGAGAGGCTATCCTATTCGAGTAGATATTACAAAGCTTCAAAAAAAATTATCAGATATATTTGTTATCTGGTATACTTATCCTCTTTAATTAGGCTTTGAAATGATTTGTGCAAACAAGTCCACATAATTAAGGTTAATATTGGTTTGTACATTAATGCCTTTACTGATAATTGTCTTCCTCCCTAGGAAACCTGTTTCTTTTTCATGAATCTTGTAGTTTTCTTCAACCCAAATCAAATGTTACCTCACATTCATTAGATTTCCAGTTTCGTTTTAACCACATCAGTGAAAATAATTAGTTACCATGTAATACCATGTTTACCTTCTTAATGCCAATACAAAATGTATTTTCTACTGAGGTAAGCTGGAAACGAATTGCATGAACTGTTTGTCAATACACAACTCTTGTATTACATTTTCATACATAAGGCCACAATTCCCCTGTTCTAGAAATCACCAAATTTAAATTTAAACCGCTTAAGTCCCATGAGATCAGATCAGAGCAAGATGCTAGTGGGTTTGGACTTGAGTTTATGAGCATCAGATAAAGTAGATTAGCAGTAATACAACTCATGCTAATAATTTACAAGAGAACTAAGATTAAGGTTTTTATTTTTGCTGGTAAAGGTAATGCCATGTTCTAAGTCACATGTTTGCACAAGTAAAGGTCTTCAAGAAAGTGTCTGGACTTTATCGGCTTCCAAGTAACACTGAAAAATAATAAAAAATGAAATTTAAAATTAATCACTTGCTAATTGGTATTACTGCCCAAGTCTTCAAAATCATAATTGACACTTCAAACATGTACATTCATTTTGCCATTGTATTGCATGTACAAAAATACTAGCTTTTAAATAAAGTTAATGAATGGGAAATTCCCCTAGTTGAAAATTACCATGTCTATGGTCATTATTGAGCAAATTGGTATTTTTCACTGACAATTATTAGATCAAAATTAATCATTTAAGGTTGTACTTCTACTCTTTGCAGGCAAACTCTGCTGAGCTTTTAGCCATTAGACCATGCCATCTATTTTGGAGAATAATATTTGATTTTGTATTGTTTTTTATTAGAGTGAAAACTGATCACCCAATTTCAGAATAGGAATTTTTTGGCTCTACATTTTGTCACTGTATATTAATTACACCAGAAATTGTAAGTGCCCTTCTTCATAATGACTTGTTCTTTCCTTTCTTAATAAGTGAACCTAAAATTGATATTTTCAGATACAAGAAGTAGGTCTAACATTCAAAATTATTCACTTCCAAATATAAAAAAACAACAACAACCACTACATACTCAAATCATTTATTATTCTATTGGGTTACTCTGTGATCCATTTTTCATATTACATGTACAATGGAAAAAAAGTGCTCAACATAATAAAAGAAGGGACATCATGCAATTTCCATTATATTAACATAAAATAATATACATCAATTTAATACAAATTACAAAAATACAATTAATTAATTTGCACATAATTAACAATTTTAAAAACACTATACATACTTTTTCAAATGTCTTAATTTTTTACAATATTTACCGTTCATGAAGTCATGACATAGCTGACCTGCACAAGTTTTCCTGACTCCTTAATCCTCTTTCTTCTCCCATACATTGTTGAATAATGAATAATAGATACTAGTAGTACTTTTTGACAAAGCAAAATTCTTTGGTCCCATGCATTTGTATAGTCACAGGTTACATACTATTTTGAGTGTACGGCATATGAAATAAACCTAACCCCTTATGCATTTTGTGAAAGAAGAGCTCAAGATAATATTATGAAAAGATACACAATGAACAAGAACTCGAAGGGCAGGCCAAGAGCAACTGAAATTTGTAGCTTAATTGAATGTTCAAGCTAATGAAATATCACCCAATTACATACTAAAGAACAGTAATATTAATAACTAATTAATGATAATGTAACAAAAATGATTTATTACCTCTTTTCATTTCTACTGTCTACACTTATTTATATTGCTTTTTTGATTTTCATTTGTTACCTTGCAAAGAGGAAGAGAGAAATTATTTAGATCTGATTTAATAAGAAATATTCAACAGAGAACTTGCACCAATAGGCAATGTTCCTGGTACCATGTTCAAATTTCAAGAAAGATAATGTGACCTTTCCCTTTCATTATTTGGCTCACTCAATATCTCATACGGTTAATAAAGCAAACTTGATAATTTCACGTCACAAAACACCTCAATGAAATTTGTTAAACAGTGTAAACAGCATAAAGGGCAATTAGACAAAAAAAAAAGTAATAACAGACTAAATGAACATAATTCATTGCTAATATAAAATTAAACGGGTATTTGTCTGACAGCTTGAATTTCATTGTAGAAAGTTTGCATCTTGAAATCTGAATGGGAGGAAATACAACTATTTACTTATGAAGTCAAGTATAGAATTGACTTATTGTGCTTCTTTCTATTCCTTTATATTCTTTTTTTGTTGATACTCATTATATAATTTTTATCTTTAAAATCCAGTTGGTAATTGAAATATTTCATTATTTTATCACCAGTGCTCTTTTATGTAAGTTAACACAAAATAATCAAGGCACAGAAGGGTTCTGGCTTTCTTTTACTCTGATTAGAGTCTACATGAATTTTTAGAATTACTGTACAACATTTTTCTGCTTTAGCTCTTTAATTTTTTCTTCAGAATAATCTAATATATTTTTCAAAACATCATCAGTATGCTCTCCAAGGGCGGGAGGTGGTAGTCGCACACAATTCTCAGCTTCACTATATTCAACTGGTGGCCCAACTACTTTAACAGTCTTCCCTCCAGAAATGGTTACTTCTTTGACTAGTTGAATTCCTTTTACATGAGGATCATTGAATACCTAAAACAAAGGTTTACAAATATTTTGAACATTTCATCCAATTCTTTAGGATTCAATTTAGCGCAAGCAAGTTACCCATATTTCTCTTACCTGTTCCATAGAATTAACAGGCCCGTAGGGAAATGTTGAACCTTCCAATGTTCTTAACCACTCTGACAATGTTTGTTCTTTAAAACGTTTACCCAATTTTTCAATCAATATATTTCTATTCAGTACTCTCATTTTATTAGTAGCAAATAGAGGATCAAGGGGGAGATCTGGTAAGTGAAGCTTTTCACAAAGAGCTTTAAACTGTTGATCACTTCCTCCTCCAACGGTAATGTAACAGTGATCTGATGTTTCAAATGCCTGGTATGGAACTATACTTCCATGTTGTGTACCTAAACGTTTAGCTTCTTTACCAGCATTTAAGTAATTTGAGCCAACATTAATTAGGCAAGAAATTACAGTTGACATCAAATCACAGTCAATTTTTTGCCCAAGGTTTGTTTTGGTTCTCTGCAACAAGGCAGCTAAAATGGCTCCATGAGCATATAGGCCAGTGGCAATGTCTGTCATTGCAACGCCCACCTTACAAGGTTCACCTTCAAACGGTCCAGTTATGTGTAGAAGCCCTCCCACTGATGATGCTATGACATCATAGCCTGGTCTCTTTGCATATGGTCCTTTAGAACCATAACCAGTCATTGAACAATAAATCAGATGAGGAGCAATGACCTTCAAATCTTCATAACCAAGACCTAGGTTATCAAGTTTCCCAGGGACATAATTTTCAACCAAAATGTCACTTTTCTTAACAAGCTCATAGATTATATTCCTGCCTTCTCTTGTTTTTAAATCAACACATACACTCTTCTTATTACGATTAATGGCCAAAAAGTAACAGGACTCATTAGTTCCTTCGACAAACGGAGGACCCCAGTTTCTTGCTTCATCTCCGGTACCTGGACGTTCGATTTTTAGTACTTCTGCCCCTAGATCGCCCAAAATCATTGTACAATAGGGCCCTGAAACTATTCGTGTAAGATCTACAACACGTATTCCTCCCAAAGGATCTTTAGAACTTGCATAAGATGAGACTCCGCTTGAAAAGCTTCTTTTCGCGCAGAAATTAATTGCTAACGTAAACTTTGATAATGAGAGCATCGACATGTTTGTGATTAACAATGCTGTTATTGAAAAGAATTGTCTGAAATATGTTTGGACGACAAATCCAGACTGAAGATTGCGTAAGTTACCAAGTCATTCAGACTGATAAGGAAGCTAATTACTTCCGTCAAGTGAAGAACAATCCTTAACTTACCTGGGCAACTTGTTCATCTTCACTTTCAACTACAGTGACACTCGGCGTTGGAGCTCTTGTTTGTTCAGCCATCATTCCATTATTTTCTGACCGGGGCGTCTCGCACAGTGTCACAGAGGTACACTCATATAGGAATCTTACAATTATTTCCCGTGTGTACGAATCGAAATAGATTATTCCGACAACTCACTCACAAATTTTCGCTTGACAGTTGACGTTGGCAAGCTTGAAAGAAATAATTATTTCACGGCATTTCGGGAAGAAAACAATTGAATGTGCAAGTGTACCCAGAGTGTACTTAGAAGTGTGCGCCAGTGCATGTGACTATAATTGTGCCACTAATGTGGTATGGTGGTACGAATGGTACTATTAGAATTATCATCGATGTCAACTGTGTGAAGCGTGTTTTGTGAGAAATAACATCCTGATTGCTCAGTCATTTTCTGGGTCTCGTTGAAGTTTGTCAGGTTAAATCAAATCAATCATGGAAAAAGAAATATTCGTTACCGAACCCGGGTTTTGCCCGTGTTGTGGTGCTATTTTACCGGACCTCAAACTAAGTGGTGGTGTTACATGTTATACCTGTGCCAAACCGTATGGACCAGAAGGTAGTAAATTTAATGTACTGTAATGAATTAAATAATGTTCTGATGTTTTAAAATAAGTAACTTCTTTTTTTACAAGTTTTTGGAAGAATGGAAATGAAGTACACAATTCATTTTAATTCTCCATCCGCCAGTAGTGTAAATACAAAAAAGAAATCAGCTGAACCAGATGGGCCTACTGTGGATCGAAAATGTCCTGTTTGTAATAATGACAAAATGTCATATGCAACACTACAACTTCGTTCTGCAGATGAAGGGCAAACAGTATTTTACACATGTACAAAATGCAAGTAAGTGCAAACAATAAGTACTGTATTTTCTTATTGAACATATACACTGATACAGACATTTGGCGAGATCTAATTGTGTTGATCATTCATGCAATCCTTAATTTAATTTGCAGGTACAAAGAGACTGAAAATTCTTGAAAATTATTGCTTAAAATGATTACAGCAAGTTATAATCATGACTTAATAAATTAAAATAAATAAATAAATTAAAAAAAATTAATCATCTTCGATTACTTTTCCTATATGGCTTCGATTCGTATCTTCTTGGTTTTGTTCGGGACACAGATGGCCTTGATGCACTACTTTGCTGAGGAGGATGTAAACTGCCAGTTGGAGGATTGTTCACTTCAAAATCATTTGAAGAATTATGTTCCATCATCTTCAATTTTGCTTCTATTGCTTGAATGGTAGTTTCACGACTGCATAGAAAAAATAATTATCATAGTTAATTACTATTAACATAACCATATTATAGTACTTATTATGATGCCATCAATTTGTAGTGGTTATAAAACTCTACTGGTGTTATTATTCCATGTCATACACAAAGAAATTTGGTAAGGAGTAGTGTTAAGTTAGATTTAATTACTATATTCTGTACACCTTAATGTCGCAGTACATAACAAAATTTTTACCAATACTACATATGGGGATGTGACTCGCATCACTATTAAAGTCTCTTGACATGAGTAATGCAATACATTATACAATTAAATATCTAAAAAAAATTGCATGCACCTCATACTGTGAGAGTACTTGATGAGTAACAATGAGTACATAAATGACAAAAAGACTTACGTTGGTGAGAATCTTTGCAAGAAGCAATTTTGTTTTATTAACAAATTTTCTTTAAAATTTCTGGTCAGTTCACGATGATGATGACTTTTGAGACTAATGATTACAAATGATCTTTTGCACTTCTTATTAATATTATCTTCAAAATTATGTTCACATTACAATTCCTCCAATTTACTTTCAGTCAATGTTTTTCCTCTATTTGTTTCCACTGCTAAATCACAGATGTATTTTAAGGCATGTTATAATAAGGTGGATTTCACATTGTACAATTAATCTGTACAAATACAAACAATCGTGTATTATTGTTTGCCACATGCCAGGGTATTCTATTTAACTTTTCTTTCTGTCTTTTTACAGCCTAAGATATGATATGATCCACATTTTACTTCACATATGTCACACACACTACACAATGTTCCCATGGGGAGTGGTAGTTATTTGTTCTGCAGATGTAGTGGTGCAATCCATGTATAGCCAGTCGTGTCATTGAGTGTCGAAGTTTGAAACTTGATTTCATCCAGTTTTTATTGGTCTTTGCTTCTGTTGTGTAGAACTCTTCCCAGATGTCTTCTTTTTTTTTCTTTCTTTCTTCTTCTAGGACACTCTGTAGAGCTGTTGTGTTAGGCAGCAGGAATTTAGACGTATGTCTTCAAGTAGGAATGTTTCTTCAGTATGCCAGTCTGGGTAAGGTGTATTAGGATACAAACCTTTTTAGATATGCACTGCTTTGACCCCCTCCAATGCTTCTAGATTTTTGTTTATTTTACTTCTGGTGAGGGCTGGATACAATTCCATGATGTTTTGCTTGTTTTTCTAATAAGAATCAAGAAACTTTGGTTGTAAACCAGAAATCTGCACATTGTCTGCCTCGGTTTCAAGTTGTTTCATCTCTTCTACTTCATGTTTTCTTCTAAAGGTTCTCCAATATCAATGCATTTTTAAAGCAGTCACCAGTTTAGTTAGCACAGCACTTATATTCCAAGAGTTGTTCTATCCTTTTCAGAATCAAGACAATGCACATAATTTCTAATTCATGAGGTAGCTATTCCTGACCATACATTGCACAAGTAAAATTTCCATCATTTTTGGGTTGCCAGGGAAGAGCTATTACATCTTTTAGCTTTCTATGCCTTGAACAATGTTACTTTATGTGCAACTTTTCTATTAACTAGCTTGTTTATTTTTGATCTTTATGCCTGAATCGAGTTGCCAGGAAAGTTTTCACTTAGCGAGAGAATTCATATCAATTTGCAGTTTTTTAAACTTAAAAACTTTTTAATCTTTTGCATGTTTCCTAAAAGGCACTGGATGTTCCCTCACTTCTAAGCAACAATAATCTGGTAACTTGGCTGGGTTCCCTCTTCCCTGATAATGTTGTGCTGAAATCATACTCTGTGTTTATCCCTGATGACTTCCAAATAATCCAGAAAAATCCAAGAGGGAGTGCAGGAAATTAAGCTTTAAAGACAGATTGTATTCCATCTCACGGTAGGCCGCCAACGGTTTTTCCACATTATTTTTAGTCTGAATTTCCTGTCCCCTCAGAACATCTTCAAGGCCAGGTATATTTTTCTTTTCTTTCTACGGCTGTATTGAATTCAATAACTCTCATTAATAGCCATTTCTGGGGACCAACGAAAATACTCAATTTCTCTCACTAAGATTTTGAAACTTAAAGATAAGTATTGGAATGCTTTGCCATTTCTGTCCATGCCCTTGATAAAGTTCTTCATTAATGTGTAAGGGTGGAAAGTAAATGTTACAAAATTTTTGTTGCACATTTTTGTGCCTCACTTCCGCTCATCATACAGGCTAATCACAGACAAGAGTTTGAATCTGGCTGTCCTATTCCAAAAGCAGTGGTATTTTGTGAGACCCAGTTGTATTCTCAAAAGAATAGCGATCACTTTCAGACACCCACTTATCTTCCACATGAAAGAATTGTAGTTTACACTAATATTATCTCACAATATCATACATTTCCTTCAAATGTACAGAATGAACAACTGGAATTGAAGGGACTTAGAAAACCATTTTACCACATAATGATCACAATGTTATTTTTGATGCATCTATGAAGTCTCCATTTATTGGTATGGTGCATTAAGCCGTTTACATTATTGCAGAATGAGATGTTTTCTTTGGATGAAATAATACTGAATTTACTTGTCTTCACAATGACAAAATATGCTAACTCATGTATCCTTGGTAAGTAAATTCCATTGCTGAAATCGTGCTGATCCAAGCAGCTCATCTCATTTTTTCATAGATAGAGGTTTTTGTACTACAAATAATACTTCTGTCTTCTTGACAGCTCCTGGCTGACAGGGGAGAAGGGGTTCCGTTAGCCAATTGGAGGCTTCAAATTGTGATGACTGTCGCTGATGAGTTGCCAATGCTTATTAAGAACAAACTGAAATCTCGTAGCACGAAGCAACTAAGTTTAAGACCACCGTTACTTCCTTGGTTATGCATCGTGTGGGTGATTCTGTGCTGTCTTCTATACTTATTCCAATTATTAATCATCGCTCTTCTGCGGTTTGTTTCTTGCTATTGTGATCAGATGCAAGAACGACCACATGGTCATGTACCTGCCTCAGATGTAAAACTCAATGACATATGCAGTCTTGTGCAATTCACTTTCCAAGAAGAAAGGAAGAGTTTCCAACAATGAGGCATGACTGTTACAGTTCTTTTCCATTATTCAGATGTGTTGAACAAAAGTTATTTATAAGGTGAAACATGTGTTGCACAATTTATGAACAGACGGACAAACTGGATGTATTTTTGACAAAGCATCTGTGATAGACAAACACTGATTCCAGTACTGGATTCAGCATAAAAAATGCTTCTAGCACTTGGATTGTGGGAAACAAAAACTTCGTTAACCAGTGCATTCTAGAAAAATTACTGACAGAGACAGTTGTCTAGAATGACAACTTGTGGAGTTCATGGACAAAAAAGAAAAATTTATATGAAAGAAATTAACAAAAACAGTTACCTTATTTTTCTTTCATTTTTTGCACCAGCTAAGGCTGGAATTTCTATCTGAGGTTTAGGTTTTTCCAATTCGTCCTGAAATAATAAAACAACCTCAATTCCCAAGAAATATTACATGAAATTATAAAGTATTCTCCTTCTCTTACAAAAATAAAAGAATCAGCTTGAAGTATTTAGGTATATTAAGAATTAGAAAGCTAGACTAATTAATTTTCATTAACCTGTTTTCTCTGTGAGAAGTATCTCCTAAATGGTCAACTAAGAAAGAAATAATTGAGACTTTCAGCTATTTACTATGGAAGAAAAGAATTAGGGGAAACCTGTTTTATCATAGATTCTTGTAAGCATATTTATTTTTCATACTGTTCTTTTTGTAATTTGATATGAAGATATATAAAATTAATTCCTGAACTAACATTTTGCTACTGATCTCTCCATTTTTACTCAGAGCATTTTTATTTCATTCTTGAAGTATGTATTCCTAACTGGTAATCTCATACTTGTGTATAGAGTTTAATCTTACTAAAGAAGTTTTCAGTGTGAACTTTTTTTTGAAACAGAACATTTTCTTGAAATTATTGTTTAAAGTTCATTTTACTTCTTTTTTTTCTCAATATAGTTTATTTTCAATTTATTTCTCATATATTTTCTTGTCTTTAACAATTTAAAAGGTTAATCCTTCAAATTTATTTTTAGAGAAACTCAAATGCTACTAATTAACTACTACATTAGAAAACAAGTATACACATAGAAAACAATAGTACTTCAGCCTACTGAAGTTGGGTTCCTAGAAGATATCACAGTTAAAAAAACATGGCAATTGTAACTTGCGGACTTAGGAAACTGTTTTTGGAATTTCATTAGGGTTATCTTCCAGGAAATCTTAGGAATGCCAACAAAAACGCACATTAATGTCAAAGGAGGCATTGTCCGGAATGATGGCAGTTTTGAGTTTCCAATTAAAAAAAAAAAACTCTTTAAATTTTGATATAAATTTCTTACAACTTGATTAAGAATAAGCAGTGTATACCCAATAATAGTTCACAAATGAAATAAGTAAATACTACAATTTCAATGTGCTGCACGATTAAAAAAAACAAACTCTTAGATATGTTATAATTCTTTAGTATAAAATTGTCTTGACAAATGTAGAAAATTTATTTTTAAATTCCCAATTCATATGCAAAATATTCATACACACATAAATTACCTCTATACTGTAAAGAATTAAATTTTTGTATGAAAATTCTATTTTATCAAGAGCGAGTCTGCAAATTGTTTCCAATCAATATGCTTCACTCAAGTGTTCTCACTACAGAATGGTCCAAGAATTCCACAAGGAAATTGTAATTCCAAATTGAAGGTTAAAGCAATTGCTAACATTTTAGGCTGTCAATCGGTAATCATAATTTCAGAACTGTAAAAATAAAGAGTTCAGTTCAGACGAATTGGGTTCTTGAGATCAGAGTAAGGACCTCTCCAACTTTAATACTAGAAAGCTTTTAAAAAGGGAGACCATTTGGCTTTGCAATAGCTATTTGCAAAAAAATTAATTTGGAATCAACTTTTAGGATATCATTTTTCAAATATAATTCTATTCAAATTTAAGAATGATTTCATGAAAATTGTATTAACTCAACTGAATATTACATTATAATTATTGCCCAATTGTGAATATAATTGTATAAATCTTAGAATGCTATTTAGCATTCACCTACCTTGCTAACACTATTTGCCCAACGAACCACAATTCGTTTACAACCCAGCAAAACACCATTCAAACAGTCTTTTGCCTTCACAGCATCTTCACTAGTTGAATAAGTAACAAATGCATAACCTCTGGGTTGGCCAGCTAAGGGACCTGATCGGTGAAACAGCAGGTCAAATTTTTCAATAGCACCATATTTTTGCAGAAGTTTCAGGAGGTGATACCGGTAAACAGAGACACAAATTATGATACACCTTAAAAAACTGGGCTGGAACTTAATAGTTGCACTATTTTAATCTGAAGTAACCCATTGAAAATTATTAATATATTTAAACTTACTCCGTTATTCTAGGATCAAGGTTTCCAATCCACAAACGTCGGTCTTCTATTTTGCTTTGAGGAAGTGGTTCCAGAGGAAGAGGATTAGTAAATGACTGCAAAGTGAAATATGAATTCACATGATAACTTGTATTATGGTTTATTAAACATCGATTTCCTCAGAATGACAGCTAAATTCAGAAAATGGGACTTCATATTTAAACGATTACGTACATCAATCACACTCATTTTCGGACAGAAGATATTCACCAAGTCGTTACGAACGCTTACTGCAATTCTAGATTCCGTTTAGCAAAAAGTAGTAAATAGTTGTCAATCTAGCATGTTTGTATTTTCCATGCCACAAACCAACTTTTATAGGCTTATATTCGCTTTACACTTATCTAATTAACAATTATTTGTAAAGAAATCTACACTTTTCAAATCGGTTCACGTAATTCTGTAGAAAAATAAAGTTTCTCATAATATGTAAACATAACACTTCGCTTTTTTGTTAAGTCCCCACGATAAGCAATGACAGATCGAAGGATTGTCGAATGTCGATGATAATACAGGATTTTCCTCCCCTCTTTCCCCGCTTTTGAAGACCCTGAATAAGTGCCGCCATCTTAACAGGCTCAGAAAAAATTTCTTCAAACTACACTTTTCCACGCAACGTGTTAATTCGTACAATACAAACAAGTTACTGGGAAAACTCGATTCAATAATGAACACTTTCTCAGTAAGGAATCTCTCACAACATCTGAAGCACGGTTCACGACTAATTTTTATGATTGTACGAAAGTTTTTTAGTTGGTAATGATGTTTTAAGCATGACCTCCCTTCTCTCCACAAACTTCTAACCGCCAAAAAATGAAAGCTGTGCAACATTCAGGAAGTTCACAAATGTGAATTATTGTGTTTATTAGTCTTAATTATTTGATTGTATATAATGTTACTAGACGCTCTCCTCTGGAAATGTAAGCTTTTCCTCAGATATTATTAATGATATTAAAGAAATAAGTATCATATAAGAATTTCAAAAAGTATTATTGATATTAAGGATAAAAAGTATCAGAACTATGGATCTTTTCGATGAATGCAATGTAATAAAATACTCTGCGTACCGTACTGCTGCGAAAGTTCGTGCGCTACAAAGAACTCTCCGTCGTAAGTATAATTGGGTGGCTAGATGTTTTTTTAATACATAATTCCGTTCAAAAAGAAAAGCAATGTCTTAAATATTTGTTACACATATCTTATTGATGTACAGCGAATTTTGTCATCTGATTTTTTTAACTGTTTTTTTTTTTCTGAATATGACATTCTGTCTTGACAGTGGAACATGTAAGACTGGGTATTGTTAGCGGTGTCTTCTACAGACATAATTTACAGCCAGTTCAAAACCAAGATGTAATTAATAGAAGTGAATTGGAAGCTATTGTATATGATATTCTCTTTGCTGCTCAGAAAGAAACATCCTCTGAAATGGATATTTCAATAAGCACAGATAAGATTGTGCAGTTTCTTTATAAGGTATATGACAGGTAAGCATTCTAGTATATAGAATAGAGAAGTAGGATTGATTTTAGAGTTTCAAATATTCATTTGTGAATGTTTTTCCATTAAATTAGGCAAGGCAGAGGGATACGAATTATGAGTGCAAAAGTTGCACTGGTAGTTCTGTGTCATGCTAGATTGCAAGAAAAATACCAATATTTATTTCATCAGTTGGCTGATCACAACAGTTGTTTAACAAAGAGAAGAATGGAAAAATTATTAACAGAATTTGCTGAGATAGCAGAACATTTATCTGAATCGGTTTCGTTTGGCAGACAGTTAATTTCATCTACCCTCACGAGTTGTTTCCAGCATGTAAGGCATTTCATTATTTTGCAGTTTGTTGTAAATATTACGTTTAAGTTTACCTTTTTCTTATAATATGTGGCTTTTAGTGTGACGGGAATTTGGGGATCAATGAGGAAAGTTTTATGTGCTGGCTTCTGAACGAGCCTCAAACGTTGGTGTGGCTTTCTACTTTGTATAGATTACAAGCAGCTGAAAAAGGTATTTTTTTATTTCAATTTTTAGGTATATTGTGAAAACTTGCCATGTCATTTTATTTACTGGTCAGTGAAGGTAGGGTACTGATGTATATTTCAATGCCTCTTTTGCAAAGCTTGATCAGGATAATTCCTGAAGAGATTAAACACTAGTTCACATGTTGCGAGTTTAGCATGCTGCATGGATTAACTGATTCTAACCTGCCTTGTAAAAGTTTTGAAGATACCTTCATCAATGTTGAGATTCTTTATAATTTTTGAACTGTTAAATAACTAGATTGTTTTAGTGAATTAATGATATTTTAAACAGTGTGTCAGTGTTATTCATCTAAATCAATGATGACCTCTTCATTTTTCAGTTTGTCACTATGTGAAATGTGACTTCTGTAAGGTGTATCCTATTAGAGGACTTCGATATATGTGTTTGTTGTGTTTGAAATATAACCAGTGTCAAACCTGCTTTTTCCTGGGAAGGATAAATAAACGTCATAAACTGAAACATCCAATTCAGGAATATTGTTATGAGGTGAGTTTTTCATTGCATGCTCTTTTTTCACCTTGCCAATAATATTGTGAACAGTTGCTAATTATTTTAGGGAAATATACTCTTATAGAATAATAACAATCCAGTAAATATGTTATATGAAAGTGGTAGGTGTAGAGATGGATGTGGGGATGGCACATGCACCACAAGCTTTGGAAAATTTGAAATGATTGCCCCCAAATTTGGCACAAATATTTTTGAGCATCCAAGAAACAAAATAGTGGGAGTTCTTATTGAAAATGTTACTCTGAAATATGTTTCTTTACAAAATTTGGTTTAATGCAACCCACACTGCATCTGTGCATTATACTCAGATTTAAACGGTGTCCCTTCAAGATCATGAGCTGGAAGGAGAGGCTCATACAGTTGGGAGCTTTGTTACGTCTTAAACTTTCGGAATTGAAGCCCTCAATTGAATAAGTGTCCCTCTATCCTTGCAGCTCATGACCATTTAGGGACCCTATGTTTAAATTGGAGTATAATATACCTAAGAAATGTGTACAAGTGTGCATGAAATTTATAGTTAAGTTTTTGGAGCTGAGTTTTGTAATTGTTTTGTTGTTTCCCTTGCATGAAAGCAGGTGATATTTGGGACTTCTGTTTACATAGTTCATTGGTGGTGTGATCTGTGGTTATGTTGCAGAGTTTACCATGCACTGCTCATCTGTGTACTACACTTCTCATTTCCTGGTTTGGTTTTGTCCAACTGTCTATCATGACACTTGTGCAGTAGAAAAGTTCTTCTACCTCTTCTTCCTTGTGTTCTCTTTCCTCTAGCTGTTTGTTGCATTCTGTGATAGATGGTAGTAATAGGTTATATCTTAGGTCCTCAATCAGGAAGGTTTCTCTGGTTATTAGATATACATTTCTGGATGGTGTGTAGTTTGATATGCCTAGTTCTTTCTTCAGGTATAGTGCCTTGATGTTTTCCAATCCTTTAAGATCTCTCAGCTTCAGGTGTTCTGTTTTGTTCCGTTTGTTAATATGGATACTATCTTCATTTTGAAAATCTTCATTGCTGTTTGTAGTGATATTTCTCTTATTTGTCTGATGTCTCTCATTGCAGCTATGTTGGTGATTGCTTTTTGTTTTATATGTTCGTTGAAGGTGGCTCCTGATGTATATATGGTAATTCCTAAGCATTTGTAGTCATTAACTACATTGTGTTCTGCAGTTACAAGTTTTAGTATTTTTTTCTCCGCTACCTTTCTTCCTCTTCTGAAGATCATTAGTGTGCTTTTGCTGATGTTAATTTTCAGTCCATTTTCCTTGTTGCGAGTTTGCTGAGGGTGTTCTGGAGCTCTTCGTGCTTTTTGGAGGATAATGTCATGTTGTCAGTATAGAGGTATGCTTCATGCTTTCCATGATTATCACTTGTATTATATCAGCTGTTATGATGTTATACAATAGAGGACTCAGGGGGTCTCCTTTTAGTACCCAATTTGTTTGAGTGACTGCTTTACATCTTTCATTGTTATTATCTATGGTGAGGATATTGTGTTTTAGCAGGTTTATTGTGGTGGTTTCGAGGTAGTTTTCTTGCCCGAGCATTTCCTCCATTTTCCTTGTATGTTTTTGCAAACTATGGAAACAGATGTCTTGCTGTAATTGATAAAAGCTGTGTAGTTTTCATTTGAGTAGCTTAAGGGCATCTTGTATGTCTGTTTGTAGGATAGAGATAGGTTTCAAGTTTGATCTTCCTTTCTGGAATCCAAATTGTTCATGTGGTACTAGGTGGTCTACTTCTTTAGTAATTCTTTTTGTGATTATTTTCGTGGCAACTTTGGCAATGGTGTTACTCAGGGCTAGTCATCTGTATGAGTCAGGGGATTGTGAATTTCCTTTCCCTTTTTGTAAATTAGTTTGATGATGGAGGTTCTCCAGCTACTGGGGATGTTTCTAGGCATTTATTGAAAAGATACTTCCATGTGTCTGCTAGTATGTATGGCTTCTTTTAGGTGTTCATTGTATGTTTTGTCTGGTCCAGCTGCTTTCCTGGTTTTTAATCCTAGAATTGTCTTTACTACCTTGCCCTCTGTTATTGGGTAATTTTCTGGGTTTGGGTTATATGCTTGCGCTGTGTTTTCCATGTTGAGAATGGCTTTGAAATGTTTTTCCCATTCTTCCATTTGAATTGCCTGAGTGAAAGACATTTTCTGTGGTTGGAGAGCTGCGAATGGGTTGGTTTCCGCTAAATGGATGATTTTTCTCAGCCTCTGTGTGTTTTCAGAAGCATTTTGTGTTTTTGTCTTACTCGAGTGTAGATTCTAGTGTGTGGAGTGGTTTACATGCTTGTCTGTAGTCTGTGTAGATGTTGTAGTACATTCTGCCTCTCCTTCTAGCATTCGGCATCGAACCATGGTTTGGATCTTTTCTTTTGTGTATATTGTACTTGGGCTGTTTTCATTATTGGCTCATTGCTACTTCAATTTTCCCTTCATTAATTATTTATTTTTATCTTTCTTCTTTCCATTTAAAAAATAATTATCAACTGGAATGGATAGAATGAATGCTTGTAAATCCTGTAAATTTTTCTCCATTGTTCTGAAGTGAAACTTGATTTCTCATGGTAGTGCAAATTGACATTTGGTCATTGGGATTTGAGGCTGAAGTCCAATACATGGTACAACTTTAAATTGGTGAAAGTCCGTTAAATTGGCACTTCATGCCATTCCGGCATGAAGGAAATTCACGGTGGAAGGGACAAGGTGTTGCTAGGGGATTATAAGGGGAACCTTTTGGTGGTGAGGGGTGGTGAGCAATATGTATCTTTGTATATGCATGAGTGGTTTCACCGGCGAGGCTGCTGTGCACTAGCTGCCCTATTGTAACAAGGTTTTATAGAAAGTACAATACTTACCCTGTAACTAAACTATAAAAATTGTTAGAAAATTTTTTAAATTTTATTTTAGATATCATCAAAAGAGGCTACCTGTGCATTTTTAAAAGTTTTACGAAATAAATTAAGACTACATCCCACCAGGGACCTTTTGTATCTTCCTGCTGAACATGATGGACAAATTAAAAGCCAGTAAGTGCTGAAAAGTTATGCAAAGTGTGATTGACACTAATTGGGAAATTGTGGAAATAATTTTTTTAACTAAGTGAGAAGTGAAAACAGAGATGCATAAAAATAAAAAAATAAAAAAATTTAAATCCACAGAGTAATGTATAATCTATCAGTTTTAAGATTTGGGTATTTGTTGAGTATACATTCTTATTTTTATTTGTTTTTAATTGTTTGAAAACATTATTTTCTTTCAGTTATACTGAAGATCATACCTCTTCATCATGTAGTATTTATCACAGCAGTTTGCATATTGGACGCAATGAATTGTCCACAAAAACAGTTGTTAATCTCTACCACACAGTTCTTCCTGTGAATCCTCAAGCTGAATTGCAAAGTATAATTCACAATTTGGAAGAAGAGAATAGGTTTGTAGTTAATGGAGGACTTTGTAATTTTCAAGACATGGAAACCAAATGTGATAAAATTTAATTTTATTTTTGTTTAACTGTTCAATAGACAATTACTTGCCCAAATTGAAGAACGCAATGATTCTAAATTAGGAAATTATCTTCATTGTCACAAAGAACAGATTGGAGCTCAAGTGGAGAGACTTAAGTTGCTGAAGGTATATTGGTTTATATTTAAAATCTTATCTCCTATTCTTCTATTAATATAAACTAAATAATATTAAAGAATTTCTCCTGTGTCAACTCAGGATAAAGTATTCACACCAATTTTTATTTTGCTTTTACCAATTTTATTGTGTGAACTAAAAATTTTTAACTACCGAAATGCCTAGTAGCGGTCCTGAATTTAGTATGGAGCATTTATATCATGAATATTTTCAATTTGTGATTATTATTTTCCTTCCAATTTTATTTTTCATAAAATACTTTCAAGGGAGATTGTAACCAAAGCTTTCTCTCCTAATGTTTTATAAAACGTGGTAAAATTTGTATTAATAAGAAATTTTATAACTGAGATAAAGATTATTCTGAACATTTTTTGACTACCTTTTGAACCTTTTTTCAGTTCATATTTTTTCATGTTGTATCACATCAGTTTTCAAAACGACTAAAGCTAATGGTTTTGCATTGCAGTTTCATCTTTCTAAAGTGAACGAATTGCTACCTATGAAGACTCTCCAGTATCAGAATGGTTGTCGACAACAATTATGCCTTTTGGAAAGTACACCTGTTATTCCAAAGACAGTAAAGAATTATAAACAGGGATTTGCACTACCTCCTGATTTGGATAGTATCAGTCCCATTGTGAAGGATACTGACAGAATTGTAGATTCGAGGAACCTATTTTCTTGGCAGTGTAACCAACAAGAATATAATGCATCAATGCCTGCAGAAAGTGCACAAAATACCACATTAATGTTGCCTAGCCTCACAGAACATTCCATGAATGATTTAAGTGTGCACATATTCCAAGGTAGCACTGATAATGTGGACTGTCCTACTGGATTTGGTGATTGGTTACAAAAGAGTGAAACTCATCAACAGTGTGTCAGTGAAATTAATGAAGATATAGACAGTATTATAGAAAAATTACAGAATGTGCTTTCATCAAATTTCCCTGTTCAAGGTGTTTTTTGTTGTTATTTTTCAATTTTAATTTTTACTAAGAAAGACATAGATGATGTGAAAAATGTGGTTCGTTAAATCATTTTTTATTGAAGTTTTATAATTTAAAATAATTTATTGAAGAAATAAATATAACTTTTGCTTATAATTGTGAATTTGAAAGTATATTTGGTTTTTTTAATCTCATTGTTGCTTTGTGGTGTTGTTTATTGAAGTCTTACAATACTTTTTGTTCCAACTAGTTTTTTAAAGATTTTTTTATGGAAAATACTTGAAACAAGATTTGTAATATAAAAGAATCATTAAACTTTTTTATGGTCCCTGGGTATCTAAAAATGCTATGTTGTAAAAATTGTCAAAAATGACACCCAGAATAGTACGTCGCAGTAATCATAGTATTTGTTTCAGATGCTTTGCTATCTGACCAGGACAACACCCATTTACAAGAAGCTGCTGCGGAGATGGAAGGTCTTCTTGCTGGATTAATCAAAAGTATTGAACATAACAAGAGCAGGAAGTAAGTAAACACTAGAGAATTCCAGAGGAAGTTTATGAAATGAAAAGGTCAATTCTAATAATTTATTTAACCTAATAATGTAATTGATGAAGAAAAGCATTGTTCTTTTTCAGCTTGACCTTTTGGTATTTTTTCTATTAAAAATTTGTTGGTTAAGCTATTTTATTTGAATTTGTTGTCATTAATCAAGTATTCATGAATAGCAAGTTTTTGTTGTTGTGATGGCAAAGCTCAGAAAATATCTATTCCCTTCCCTTTTCCGTATTTGTTTTCTAATTTTCAAACTTTTTGAGGGGAAATATAAATTATTCCTTAATAAGCAATTGGTAGAGTTAAAACCTAATGGCAACTTTGGAACACACAGGTTCAAATCTAAACTTAGGTATACTGATGACTAAAAGTATTGTTAGAATATAGTTCTTTGGTTAGACTTATTACCAAAAATAGGTAATGTTTTTTGTATGCAGCACCGGTTTCTGTTATAAGTGCTTTCATTGTTCTCTGATTTCCTATTGCATCAAATCTGAGAGCTTTGAATTTAAGAGGAAGTTCTTTCAGTTTCAGGGAGATTTGGGGATGGGTGATAATGTGGGTAGGTGGACATGATGTGAAAGAACTAGAGTAAAGAGTCTTTATTGTTTGTTAATTAAAAGCAAATCTGTAGTTGGTATGATTTTGTGAGTAATTTTACTTTTACACTGCTACTTATGTAATACAGAGCGTGTTTTAAAGATGCTACAAACAATAGCAATTTTTCATCAGAAAGAAACTTGTTTGCTTCATTTGACACAGAAAAAGTATGCAATTCTTGATGCTATGTATGGGGTATAACTTCCTTTATCATATTGTGAGGTCAGCATCCAGTTTTGTGGGTTTTGATACTGAAAAATTGGATGACATCCAAATGTTTGTGTGTCTCCCTGTTCTCTGTCTGTGGTCAACACTAGCACCTAAACCATTCTGACAATTTTCTCCAAAATTGGCATTCTTTAATTGATTTGGACAAACTAGGGTCTTTAAATTTGAAATGGATATTTTGATTTTGGGGTGTACTTTACATGAAGCTTTCAGGATATTTAAAAGTTTTCTTAGAAACAGTACAACATTGTTTTTCCTGAGATAGAGCAAAGTGTGCTTACAATAATGGTGTGGGTCCCATTGTTATTGAACTCCAATTTTTGAAAATTGCAAAACTTAGAAAATTACAATATTAAAGGTAGATATTTTTTTCTCAATGAAATGTGTGCTGTGAAGACAGAGGTCATGGTCATGGAAGAATAAGGTCATGTTAAGTTTTGAAAAATGTGATAATATCATGTAATTTTGCTTGAAATATAAGCAATTAAAAAAAAAATCTTTAAACTGCTTCAATTTGTTTCTTTACACACTCCCCTCAGAGCAAAGAATGCTTAAACGTATGGCTCAGATTTCATTTTTGTTGAACTCTGGATTTTTACTTTCATGTATATGTATTTATTTACATTATATTGAGAAAGTTTTGTAAACCCATGGCAAAATACACTAAGTTTTAAACAGTAAAACTCGTGTATTGTGGGACCCTGATGCAGAAAAAATGTCTTAATGTTGTTCTAAAACAGAAAATTACGTCTTGCAATACGTATATCCAAATTTCACAATTAGTAGGTCCTTGATTCTGAAAAATTGATTTATGTCTGTTCATCCGTTGAATAGCATTATTGCATTTGTGAGTGAAATTGCTTTAAATGATGCCTTATAAAGTTTCTTGAAAAAATAAAACTTTTCTGTGAATGTGAGCTCAAAATTCCACATTTTCAGAAAAGATCAAATGCCATTTTCTCAAACGACATATTTACTACTTCGGTTTATTCTTTTGTTGTTTTTTTTATAAATTACACAAATGCATTTTTTAATGTCCCTCTCACCATTAATATTTACATTATGTTAATTTTTTATACATTATTGTATGTTTACTTGAAATGATTTCTTATGAAGTTCCGTGACAACTTGAAAATTTTTGGGTGAAAATGAGCTTCAGAATGCGTATTTTCAGAAATGCTTGAACATTTTCTTAAAAAATATTTTCTAATTTTTCAATGAAGATAAGCATATAGGACCTAATTTTACAGTTATATTTCAATTCCACTATAGGTAACCGAGAAAGTGTGTATTCTAGTAGATCTTTGGCATATTGTATTTTATATCTATTTTGTTTGTGTGATTTTTCCTTAAATACAAATGAACTACTTTTCTTTACCCATATGTTTGGATCTTTTGTACTTCCAGATTTTAGGTAAAAAAGTAAATTAGTATAATAATTGGATATGCATGCATAATTTACATGCATTTTGTGTATATCCAACTTCAGATCAATTTAGAAGTTATCTGGGAGCATATTGGAATATATATAAATTTTGAGATCATTGACAATGCTTTTTTGTTAATGTGTTTATGGGTCATGTTTCTTCTATTTAGAAAATATAAATTAATAATTGATTTGTAAGTGACATAATACTTCCAAAGGTTTGCAATAAACTGCTCCCGGTTGAGATATAAAATACATATTCTTGTCTTGTCATAAAGAAGGTAATAATAGATTTGGAGACCTTGAGAAAGGATCTGTTGTTGTGAGTCCCATTGTAAATTCCAATTTCTTTCAATTTCATTTACTCCTTATATCACTCACTCACTTTCTGGTTTATCTTCTTCCCTCTGTTCACTATCTCTTTCAATATGCACATACCCTTTCTTGTTTGAATGCCAAAAGATAAAAAATAATTTTTATCTGCACTTGGGCTTTTGTTACAAATATAAATGTGTCTCAAAATAAGTAATGAGAAATAAATAGTATGTAACAATATTTGTAACATTTCATGCTAGAGAAATATTTGTTTAAGATTTTCTGTTAATTATGTTCTGAGAAATTAAGATATTTTTTACATTTTAAGGTGATATTTATTTTGAATGGATTCGCAATTTGATGTGCATGACTTTTCTTGCACAAGACTGTTGTGTAATTTATATTTTGCTTTGCAGAAATTGGGATGCAGTCGACAACCAAATATTTGTTTGATGTTTTAAGAATTTTCATCTCACATTTCCTGAAGTAATGTAATAATTAAAAAAACATGTAAATTTATTCAAATTCTCAGTTCTATATATTCCCTAATTTATTTTTTGTTGAGAAATAAGACTTGTTTGTTTAAACCTAGTCAGTCTTTTGCTGTTTTAATTACGTGTTTATGCATGTGAAATTTGTAATTACGTTAGCAATTAGTTATTCTTCAAACTCCAGCCAGCTTCAAAATCGTTTTTATTTTGGTAAATGTCTTTACATGATTATTGCACAGTTCGATATTATATATATTTCTGTTAATTTAACAGGATCGAGGAAATGAAATGAACTATGCATTTCCTGTATATTTGTATTTCAACAACTGTAAGTTCATTAGACTTCCTACAATTTGTTTAGATATACAGATTTGTTGGATTAGAACTTAAAACATATTTTACACTTTGTACTATTGTTTAGTTTTATTGGAGAAGGTAATTGATTTGTGAAATGAATGTAATAATACAACCTAAAAACCTTCTGAACAAGAATAAGTTCAGTATGACAGAAAATGTATAATGGTCTTTATCAAAGAATTACATGAAATGGAACACATATATAAAAATTTTATTTCCATTATGGGTAATACAAAATATATTTTGGTATTGAGTAATAAAGTGACCATTAGTTCTCAATCTTGAACTTGTTAAAATCAGCACCGGATTTCAAAATAAGACATTCATCTAATTTTTTGTAATGATTATGTAATTTCTATACTTTTCCACATGCAAAAGATATTGTAAATCATTTTGTGAAATTAATAAAAATAAATACTATATATATTTTAAAATCTTATTATTTTTTCCTGTAAATGTTTATACAGCTTAAGATTTATGTTAATTTCACATAATGCTTCTCTTACATGTTCAATTGCATAGGTTAATAGCAATTCAATGCATAGGTTATCAATTTTGTGATATCTTTCAAATTGTTCTTGATTGTATTTCAGAATTATTTATATTTCAGTACCTTTAGTACCTTAGTATCTCTTGACTAGGATCAACCAGTCTGAAGAGCATATTTTTTCCACAAGTTCTAAATTGTTAATAATAATAAGACTTTTTAATTGCAGACTTAACAAGATTTTTATTGTGAGTTTATTTTAATTATATATGTATTTATCAGAAAGTGAAAAATCTCTCTGAATTTTATCTTTGTTACAATCTTTTTGCTCAAAGCATATCATTTGAATGGTAGTTATTTTGAATCTGGTAGTCAACTTTGAAGCACCCATATTTTGTTGTAAATGATGTGAAACATTGCATGTCTTTGAGTTTTTACATTAGTGAAGAATAAATCACTTATTGTATGCTCAAAGTTAAGGCAATTATTAGATGTTGAGTTATTTTCCCAAGCACATCAATTAAAATGGACTTATACTAATAAATTAATGCATAATTGTAGTTACACGTCTGTGGCCGTTGATGTATTTTGTGCAGTATTTTGTGGTTTACGATGAACTAAGAAGTATTCTTTATAGGCTAGGTGAAAACATACAATCGTTATATTATATTTTCCAAGTATAGAACACAAAATGCTTCTTGTATTGATATAAATGTTAATGAAATAGGTGCTCAGTGTACTAAATGCAAAGTACATTATCAATTGTCCAAGTTTTTTTATGTACAATGTTGCAATAATTCACAGCGCAGTGTAACAATCGTGCAAACATCAGTTTCGTTTAGAAGAGTTGATGAGATACTTGCAGCAGTGTGTCAACAGATGTTTTTCACCACTGCCGTCCATCTGGTTGCCACCCAGTTCACGAGTGTATATGTCGAGGCCGTACTGTCCCTCTTCGGGAAAGCTGATATGAAACGTCACTACATCGTCATCTGTGATAGCATGAGAAACAAATTTTGACAATCTCTTCTCTTCAACTCCATTTTTGTGAAGTGTTGCCATGAAATCTGTCAGTGGGCGTGACATGCGAAATTGTAGCTCCAGTTCACGTCCAGCAAACACAAGAGCATCCTAAACAGAGAATTACAGTGAGATATGTCCTGTGAAATCTTATTACAGTAAAGTCCTCATACTTTTGGTTGCTTGTTTTACCAAGCAAATCATTAATTTCTTGAAAATATTCTTTCATTTGAATATTTGTGTGTTATCTTCACAATTTACTCCTAGGCATCTGTTCCTAATAAATATATTATATTAAAATAATAAATATATTATAATATTCATTCATTTTAATTGTGAAAATAATGAATATTTTAAAATATATATTGATCTGGAGAAAGGAGTCATTTCATCTCATTTTTTCTTTTAATACAGCTAGAAGAGCTAATGAATGTTAAATTATTTGAGTTTAGAGTTATTCAAGATATTTCTTCACAAAGAAAATAATTATTTTGTGGTTATTTAGTTTGTCACATTTAATATACGGTCATTTACCTGGTGAGTGATAGGGACTAGCCCAAAGAGTCGTGTAGCTTTAGTTGGACCCCATTCTCCACTTGCACAGTCAGGCAAAGGAACCATAACTGTTTGCAATTCTTCGCATGCAATCTTGAATTTACATACACTCTTGAACTTCATTGGCTCTCCTGTGAGGTATTCTTTGGGTGTTACAGCATTAGCAAAAATGTCCAATAAGAAAGCACCACTACATGGTGCATGCACCCGGAAGGCAACAATGTTGCCCACCACAGACTGAAATTATATAAAAACATTTGTTATGGATTTTTAATGTGATGGACAAAAATTTTATTTTTAAAAAACAACAAAAAACAAACCAGTTTATTATTTCCATTGTCTCAGAATGTTATGAGGAAGTAGTATATTTCACTCTCCCAAAAATCAGTTGTTCACTTTCTAAGAATAAAATCTGTAGGCTGCTCTTTGGGCCTTCACATTATTTCATCAATGCAATCATACAGCAAAACAATAGTTAAGTACTGTTATTGAGAAGCAAATGTTTCCTTACCTGCATTACAAATCTTTTCAGACTGACACCATCAAAACCATCACCATCACTATCATAGAATTTTAAATTATAATGAAATATAAGGCTGGATTGCATATGGGCTGGCATTGCTATCCTCACTGTTGCAGCTCCTGTGAATTAGGTGACATCAATTAAAAGACAGTTCTATTTTCTATTTTAAAATGCAAATTGGTGTTTTTAAAGACAGTGGACTTCAAAACATTGTGTACTCACCTGTGGAATCTGTGTACATTACTGCTTTTGTGTTGGTATCAGGGAAGTACAGACCATATCTGAAGAAAAGGGAGCGTACAAATGGTAATTCTTCAAAATCCTGCAATGTGATTGGGCTCTTGAGAAGTTGCCATTCAGGTTGAAGAGGAAAGAACTCGTAGATGAACTCTCTTGGATCAGTAAGAAAATAATGGTCGTCATATTCATACCTGAAAAATGGAATAAGTTTGTAATAATGTTTTCTTTAGTATGAAATTATAGGAACAGTTAAAAATGTTATTCTAAAAATTGACATCACTTGTGCTCGAAAGATGTGTGAATCACTTTTGATTTGTTTTCATGTTGCTGAGAATAATCCTGGTAATTAAGCTCTTTCTAGTAATTTTACTGACAGAAATTTCTTTAGTCACGTGATCTAGGTATTTTAGTTGAACACAAGAAACTAATTGCAAAAGAAATATTCTAAGATTTTTACTGGAGTAATATCCCCAACAACGTATCAAAAGGCCTGAAAAATCGAAATATGGAAAGCTGCCATTATGTCTACCATGCTAAATGTACACTTTAAATTATTAAATTTAGGTCAGTGGCGGCTCCCCAGATGAAGGCGAAGTTCCAGTTCAGTTGTTTGAGTGTGTTTAACGTTCCTTTTTATATTTGAATTAATTTTATTTTCCTTGTGTGCTCAAAACAGTGAATTCAATTTAATGCTTTGGAAATTGGCTTGTTTCTGTACATACATTCTTTTTGCTCTAATACCTCCAAATATTTCAGACAGGCTGACCCTTGTTGCTAGCTCACACAAATTGAGGCATCACACAAAAATTTTAACTGTAAGCAAATGGTTGCCAAGGAAATAGCAAACCTAGGCTGCCTAGTGTGTGTAAACCAAAGGAGACCGTATGTGGTGTGACAGCATGCGAACAGGTCAGGGCCTACCAGCAGCATTCTGGCCTCACGGCCATGGGTTAAGGGGGTACGTGTGGTTAGCATAAAGATTCCTCTACACCATATTCTGGTCATCTCAACTCAGGAAGCAAGTTTTCTTATCCTCACACAGCAAAATATACAGGGACATTGCAAGGAAAATGCACACTATATTCCGAATGGGAGTCAAACCCAGGGTCACGTAAAGGAAAGCAAGCACACTGACCAATGAGCTGAACCGGGAGGGCCCAAAGGAGACTACTAAGAATTATTTCATTTCCTTGACTTAATGGATCATTTTTCGTGATCCCTGAGAATAGTACATATCAAGGGCCTCATCATAATGTGTTTCTTAAATCACAGACAACTGAACCTAGGGGTGAGGTGATGAGGTTTGTTCATGTTTTCTTGTGTATCAGTTAATATAAATGAAATGTATTTGATGTAGTTTTCTATGAAGAATATTGTGAGTCAAGCACAGTACATTACCTGTATTATGTAATTTTGAGAATTATGCAGTGCCAAAAAACATGCAAAAGGAACCTGGAACTCATTGATAAATTAAAAATGGGGGCACATAAAATTTGTACATATTTTGTATTAGATCATTTCAATAACGTGACCTAAAGAATTTGAAGTTTTTGAACAACTTTAATTTCAGTTTTTGCATGCCCTGATAACAAAAGCAACAATTTGGGAGTAAGGTTAAACTATTTTCCTTTTTATTTTACCCCCAAGCGACAGAAAAGTGCCTGTTAGGTCTCAAGAACAAGACCCAATTGATCATTGTTCTTACCTCAAGCTATCTGATTTTCCTTTTCCTCCAGCTTTTGGTACTTCCTTGGCGTTCACAAGGTGTCTTGCTCCCCAGTTGCATTGAACAAACCGCCATGCTCCAGCAACATACACTGCATTCCAAGAGTTTCTGAAGCGATTATCTTCAAATCGAACACCAGGCTGATAGCCAGCAGACTTGGAATATCCTTTGATTACAACACAATGCAGGCCAGCATAACTAAAGAAAATGTAGAAAAGGTCAAAATACAAGAAATAAAATGATATCAAACTAAAACTTGCAAACAAAAATATTTCATAGGTATATCAAGATGAATATCATACAGACCTGCATAATCGCTTAAATAGAACATGATAACTTTCTGTCCCATGCTTGATGCCTCGTAACAGACCCATCGGAGTGTCTCCCCGAAGGTTTTCATCAAACTGCATGGTGTTTAAATTTTTCACTGTGATCCATCGGAAAATGGTTCTGAAGAAAAAAAGCAATAGCAATCAATGTGATAATGATTTTGTAATTTAAATGAATGTTATAATTGTGATTTGCAGGGCTAGAATTTGTATGTAATTACTTAATTGCCCATTACTAACAATCAAAATTTTGTCATATGTTTACAAATTAAGATTATTGAATAAATTTTTGACTATCCATATTTTTCAATATTTCCAGGAACAATACATATTTTTTTTATATAGATAAGGAAAACTCGCATATTTTATCCTTTATTTGTAATATGTTCTGTATTTACTATTTTTCAAAATTATTATTGGAAAACTATTTTTAACTTTTAATTGCAGTGCTGAATTGGGTTTAGAAGTAGATCTAGATTCAACTCCACAATGCATTATATTGCACGGTTCAAGTTGGACTACACTACACTTTTGGTATTGACAGCTTGTGAATAAGTAGAAATTAATATTAAGAGATACCTAGTAGTGCCACAGAATGGCATGGACATTACTGTATTCATTTTCTATTTCTTTGGGTCTCAGCTAGCTACATAAATTTGCCACACACTCTTGCCAACTGCCATGTATTGCTGAAAGTACATTTTTTGTTGTTGAAATTTTCTTAATTTTTCAGTTTCTTTATATTAGAATGGAAATATTATTTTAAGAATAATAAAGAACAGTAAAACCACGTCCTAAATGGCAATTTTCTTTAAAAAACATTTGGAACCGTTTGTAAGAAAATGCTGATTAAACGCTAACTGTAAATTAGAAATTTGAAGCTTTTTTTCAGAGAAAAGTTTTGAGTTGGGGGAAAATTTCATAAGATGTAATTTGAAGCACTTTAACTCACAAATACCATCGTGCTTACAAATTGATTTTTTTAGATTTTCGAAAATTCAGAGTTAACCGAGAAAATCTAACACATGCCATAAGTGTATGTTACTCTATTTTTACAAGAAATTTAAAGATAAAATTTGGAGCCTTTTTGAGAAAATTTTGAGTGTTTGGGGTTTCATATACAGTACCCCCAAATTTTGAAGGAAGTTTTTCAAAATCCAGATTGACCGGGAAATATCCATTTTGGAAAAAATCCTCTGTATGGTTTAGGTGCTAGCGGTGTTCACAGAGGGATGTTTTGAAAAAAAATAATTTTTTCCCTGGTATCTGGGAACCCCAAAACAAGTATTTCTATTGAAATCTTGAAATCGATTTTACTTGTATATTACTCTGTATATATGTATGTATACAGGAAAATTAGAAGGTCAATTTCACTTTAAGATTTAAAATTGTGCTTTGCAAGTGGGCATTTATCATAAAACGATAAAGACAATTTTCAGCATTACAATAATGTTGAGTGTGTTTTAGTACATAATTGAATCCTTTTTTCTGTCAATAATAAAACTAAATTCTTTAACTCTTCTATTTAAACAGGGCTTGCAGAGTCAGTATGAAACCCCTGGGGGTCAATGATGATCAAGGGGTCATTTGGGGGGTCTATAGCCGAATATGAACCAGCGACTATTAGGTATAATCAAGATCCCATTGATTTCACAGACACATTACATTAATTACTTAAGCCTACGCAACCAGGTATAATCAAGTTCCCATTTATAACACAAAAATAATGAACTTTATAGTTGTTCTTTAGATAAAGTAACACAACTCATAATACATTTAAAATTTGCTCCTATTCTTTTGTACGTTGATCAACCTTAAGATCAGGGGCTGATGCAACCAGTGCACTACAACAGTTGCCCAAAGTCAGGCCCTTAATAAGAAACAACCATGGACGAATATTGGCAAAAAATTAAGCAAATCGCACTTCATACTTATATTCTCCATTTAGCCATACTTCAATATACCAATTAGATTTAAAACTCATAATTTCACTGTATTGCAGATTTGGATGCCAACTCGATTTTGTGCATTTGGGTATTCAAGAACCTTGCTACACAATTACTTAAGACATTTCGAAAACAACAAATAACTGCCTATTTACAATGACACTCTTATTGCAGAAGAAAATTCGCTCTGGAGACATATTGTTCCAGCTAAAAAATGCTCAATATTTATTGTCTACTATTGACCAACAGAAAAGGTTAAAAACTCAGCTACACAGAAGCAGAAGCATTTTCTACTACAGAAAATCCAGAGCTCTTCCAAAATATTGACGTACCAAATTGTTATATTTAAGATATGAATGTGTGATTCTTGGATGGTGTAATCATTAAGTATGCTATTATAGATACTAATGTAAGGGGGTTGATGTACCAAACAACTCTTTTTAGGTGTCTATTAAAGAAAAAGGTTGGAAATCTCTGATTTAAACGTTTCATTTAACATATCGCGGTCTTCTTCAGGGCTGTAGTGCATTAGGATGTTCAGTGCTCTGGTTTGTATAATAGGTAGATCAGACTTTTTTTTAAAAAATAATCTGTTCAAAAATATAGATCTTTAAATAAGGTTATAAATAATTGTTTAAAAAAAAGAGCTTTTCACGTAATTTTGCTTGAGGTTAATATTATATATTAATAATCCAACTATAAATTATTTATAAAAAATTCTTAAAAATGGATCCTGTTTTCATTATTGCTTTTAGATAGAGCAAATAACTCTTATAAAATGGCATAGATCTGATTTTCGTTAAATTCTGAAATTTACGAAAGTTCAAGATTATGTATAACGCCACTAGTTTTTTAAGCGTCGGTTGTAGAATTCAACGTACGTATTGCGGGTGTAGCAGTAACGTTCCTGGCATGTTGACTCGAAGCATCTAAATTCGTATCTCGCCACGGAGAACAAAATGTTGGAAACACTTGCAGGTTCGTGTAGTAGTGTAATATTTCTCAGCCGTAACAAATAATGCGAGAAAGTACGGGTATATAGGGTATATACTGTTGTAAAATACTAGTTTGTTTAGGTAAATGCAGCTGTGGTGGGGTTAACGAAATTTACTATATCTAATACTATATAAGGATATATACACACACTAATAATATATATTATATATATATAATATATATATATATATATATATATATACATACATACATACATACACACTAATTACTCTATAAGGATAGCAATCAATTTCCAATGGATGTGAGTGAAAATTATTCTATAGTTCATTGTGTGACATTAGAGGATCCAAAGGGACATGGGTCTAACCGTTTCAGAACGAACCTTATTGAGTATTTGTTTTCAAAACGATTACCATGAATTAATCGCATCACAGCTGAAGGAGTTTTATCGTTGATTACTCTTTTTTTCAATTTTTTTTTAATTTGAAGCTAACAATCAACAAGACACTTTATGAGCGAGGGGAAAATCGAAATTACACTCTTTCGAAATATTTTCTGGATCCGTCCCTGATCTGTGAAGCGTTAACTATGCAATAAGACAATCACAGTTTAGAAAACTACATTCTGTAAATACATATAATAACTTAATAGCTAAATACTTACCTAGCCTTTTCAATATCTGAACCACAGCGTCCCACTAGTTGCCGCACAAGGTCTGTAAATGTTTTTTGGTCTTCTTGAGCCACCTATGAAAATAAATTTAAAACACTTTTGATTTGTCAGCTCCAACTTAAATATCCGAATGGGAAAAGTTCTGTATTTAGTCGAATTTGCAAATTTTATTTTTACCAATATATGGAAAGAATGTAGACAACATTACGAGATACTTCACGGTGAATTGTATTGTTTCTTTGGCAATGCTCTCATAAATATCCTGTCGTGCCTCTGAAACATCAATAACCAGGAGGGCCTAGGGTTCAAGTCCCGACAGTGGCAGACATTAGACACAAGCAACATAGTTGGGGGTCGAATTCTCCACTGTGCGGAGTATTCTAGCGGTCGGCTGCTCAGATAAGTGGGGGAAGTATCTGGAGAAGAAACCACGCGAGTTGACGTGTAAGGTGGACGCGGGATTTCACGTTCCAGCGGGACCTCCCGGTGACTACACTTATGGGACTAAGTAGTTGACGCGACCGGAATGTGGTCCGATTTTGCCCGACCGGAATTTGCAACGATTCATCTAAATACCGTAAATATGATATTCGCTATGATAATATTCATAGCGTTTCATCAATGTACTCGTAGGCGTATTACAGCCATAAAACATGCGCATTTCAACAATTCTTCCAGGATATCGAAGCATGAACCGACTAAGAATTGCGGCAATCAATTTGACTTGCCGAGAAGAATCGAATGAGCAATTGATCATCTATGCAGCCTAATAAGTCGCAAGCATACGTCACCCAAGACGTGTTTTATTTGCTTAAAACACGTTTTTTAAAGTAAAAAAAAAATCATTTTCTGGATCTATCCGCAAAAAGAATTATCAGGGTCTTAGCAGACCCAAACACGTTAAATGGCCCCTCTTTTGACTCGATTGATGGACCGGAAGGGATCTGGACGCAGGTTACTCGATTACTACGAGGTAACTTCAAAAAATTGATTCCACGCCGCTAGCAACGCTACAATCTGAAGTATAATTGTGTGAGTATTGATTCCAGGAGAGGAAACTACTGCGTTTATTAGTCCCCTAAGTTTAGTTTACGTTATATCCCGAGAGGTGGCGGAGTTTCTCCTCAGCTAGAACATGAGATCCGGCGCCGACATACACGTTGGCTATCTCTCCTAGCGGAGCACCTTCGGCCTGGACAAGCTCAAAGCTTTCGACGTGCGTGGTTGTGTTGTGCATATGTGTGGAGGGGTGGGTAGGAGGAGGAAGCAAGGAAGGAAGAGGAAAGGAAGATCGCACGCGATCCGGGGCCCGTTTGTTAAGGTGGCTCCACTCACGCGGCATTCAGCGAATCCCGAGCAACCGCTCGCCGAAACCCGAGTAGTGTGCTTGCGATTCGCCGAGCGCCGAACATTTGACATTCGCCCTACCCACCGCGTGTCCCAGGATACATCAAAGGGTGCGAACATTCGCCGAACACTTCAGATGTTCGGGATTGGGCGAGCAGTAGCTCCTTGTTCGGCGAATGCCGAATGTGTGGAGCTGCCTTTAGGGTACTGCTCCAGCTTTCGCGAGGTATTAATTTAAAAAAAATGACCAGAGCAATCGACAGATAGAATTCCTCCTGACATTCATTGAATGTGACTCAACTAAAATGAAGCTTGTGTCGAAAATACGCCACCGTGGGGACTCAAACACTAACTTCCCGGAGCAGTAGAAGCAACGATGTAGCCGCTGAGCTCTTTTTGCCAGGAGTATAATCGGCTACGATCACTGACCGCTTTTAAAAGTCCACTTTAATTAGTGACCACCCGCGTCTTGTCACCCGTATGCGCGTTTCATGCTCCGTTCAGGCTATTAGACGATTTTTGTGACATTGTACTGACGACAGCTGAGCATTGTCAAAGATCGCACCGCGAAATGTACTCTTCCACCAACCAAATGCGTCTAAACAACTGCTGTTATACTCTGATTTAAACACAGTGACACTTCAAAGTAACGAGCCGGACGGAGAGTCATGTCAACCTATCGGATCGGCAACCAAAATTTTTGGAAGTGGAGCTCCCGATTGGTTGACAATGATCCCCGCCCCTCCTCTTCTTCCAGAGACCTTGAAGTACCCCACTTTAAATCGGAATGTAATGTATGAAAGTGTCACTTCCATGCGTGTATCACTGAAACGAGTATTGTAAGAATTGGTACACGTTAAGTCGAGAAGCAGATGAGAATATGTTTGCGTGGGAATTAAGTCATCACACGGATATAAACGAATATTCCAAAAATCCCGTATTTCGATGAGCTCGCGTTGATTAGTTTTATCAAGTTTTTATTTAAATTATTAGTGGACTAAATTTTAATTATAGATCAATTATGTATGTAAATAATATTTCTTAACAAGATTTTAAAGTATTTTAACGTTCTTCAGTTGGCGGAGCGACAAAAATAATAGCGACCATGCGACCATACCACCCATTAGTTTGGCATCAATGAGTAAAAAAACTTAGCATGACTGAACAGACAATAGCGGCACTGGTGGACAATGCACAGTGGTGGTATTATGCGCGCACTTTTCTTGAGCCCCGGAACACCTACCCACCCTCCTTTGCCAACATTGGTTGAATTAAGAATAAATGATAGCAACGAGTGTAGACAAAATCTGATAACCAGAAACGTTCGCTCCACCATAACAGAAACTATCTTACATCGAAAACCGAACTACAAATTTGTTGTAAAACTCCTTTTGTCCAAATCTCCAAACTCCCCACACCTCTCGCAACTAGCGAATCGAGGGCTCAAGAAAATGAATGTGCGCGGATAAATATTACTCCTTTCTCGTCGCTTGAAGCGCGGACTCACCGAAATAGCAATCTGGTCGATGTCGGCGAACTCGACGGGGTCGTGGTAGACCTCGAACTTGGAGAGCGCGGGCGGCGCCGGCGCGGGCGCCAGGCTGGGGTAGGGCAAGAGAGCGTCCTCGGCGAAGCCGTCGCCGTCGTCCAGGTACAGCGACTCGGCCATCATGAACTCGCTGCGCTTCTCGTTGATCAGCTCCAGCATCTCTCGACTCTGCTTCTCCACCAGCGCTGCCGTCGCTGCCCTGCAAAGCAGACACCGCGTTGGTAGCGAGTGGCGCAAATAGGTTTTTTTCCCCCGGAGGATTTAGGGCTCAGTTCGTGCCCAGATTGACTGTTTATTTCGAGTTTTTGGGCGCGTTAACTGATGTGGTAATTAGTTCCGTAAGTGTAGCTCATGCTTTTATCACGGGAGGTGGCAGTGATCCCTTGATAGTAAGATCCGCCGCCGACTTACAAGTCAGCTTGCGCGTTTTTTTCTCCAACAAGGGGTATCCCACCAGTGGTGTACCGTCTCGACCGGGACAAGCTTTAAGTTCTTGACATGTGTGTTGGTGTAATGCATGTAGGTGTATACATGTGGGGCAAGGGGCGAGAATAGGGTAAGGAAGAGGAAGAGAAGATCGCATGCTGTCCGTGGCCGTTTGGCAATAACCGTCCATGATACTTATGATAAGTACACTTACAACAATTTTCTTGATAAAAAAGTGAGGAAATTACTTTCATTGAACGCATGATCAACATGGAATATATTAATCAAAATTATGGTGTGGAATTAGAAGTGTTAATCCCACTTCGCATAAGAAGACACGATCCGCATATCCCGAGCCTTTTCTACATTTACTCCGCTTCGTTAGCGTTGTGTTAAAATAACTGCCAGTAGGAAAACCTTTTCAACGAGTCCGTCTTCACGTCCTGATAACGCCGCGCAAGAACGAGATGCAGCTGAGCACGTCGACAAAAGAAAACCGGGAGCGCAGGGCGGGCCCGAGTGCAGCGGTGGGAACGAGGCTGCCGAGAACGGAGTGCGGAAACAAACGCCTGCGTCGACGATCGCGCGGCGACCGCTAAGGCTTCCGAGCAGGATCCTGGAGCTCGTTGTTAATTAATGATGAAGTTTCATGCAGTGGCACCTCGCTGGTGCTCAGGCAAGGGAAGGTAATTTCGAACAGCGTAAATTTTTGACACTAGCTAGCTAGGTCGAAATCAATCGCTGTCTGGAGGAGAAGGCGGCCGGCTGCTCTGATTGGTAGTTTTCCGTGGAACCTCCGATCAATACCGGGCGATTGCCGGAGCAGTGCCTTAACAAACGAGCCACGGACCATGCACACTCTTTCCTTCCCATTCCTTTTCCTATCCTCTCCCCTTACACACACATTTACATGCACTGCACCATCACACATGCCGGGAGACCGGTCGGGAGTTCAGAGCTTGTCCCGGCTGGGGCGGTACCCCGTTGGTGGGGGCTGAACTGGTTGGGGGAAACCCTGCAAGCCGTCATAAGTCGGCGCTGGATCTCACCCCCCCCCCCCCCGAGGTAAAAACACGCAAAACACTTACGAGACTCATGACCTTAGCAGTTGACGCTTTCAGAATTTCCTAACAATGAATGAATCAATCGTAAAGCGTGATAATTTCCTTCTCTGGGGGACCGATATGGTACTCTTCAATAGGACTGGATTAATATCTAAACATTGCCAAACTAATGCTTCGTAACAAAATGAACGTATAAGTACAAAATAACGTACTAGTAAAAGTTATTCTGGAAATAAATGTATAATATCCAATTAAAAAAAGAATTTTTATGAACTACTATAAAATCGTTTAACATATATTTCTGCAGGCCCATAAGCGGGTGTTTAGTTTAGCTTAGCTCTAATCCATCCCTGAAGACATCCTATGCGCTTATGTTTGGCTGGAGCAAATTTATCTATCATTACATAATATCATATATTTTGTGACATAGACAACGCAATATATCTTGCTAATATTATAGATGGTCGAGTGCGCACGCCGATGAGTTCTGGAGCACATTATTTTGTGAAATAGACGAGTATCATGAGTGAAATCTAATGCTGTGGAAATCTGGAAAGTGCTTTTGTCTTCTCCTGAAGCGTAATACAAAGGAATAGGCCCAGATCTAAAGGGATAGACTCACAAACTCGTGTTTTAATAATTTAACAAAAATCCTTTAATTTTAATTTTTATTTTCGTAACAATTTGGAAACTTACCAACTATACTTTCTTACAAATTATGATACCTGCATTTATTACAGCAAAAGAAAAAGTCCTGGAAACAAATGATATATTATGAAGAGTTGGAGGACCTCATTGGTATTGGTATAATTCTCATTATAATGAACCTAGTATCGGCGTTTATTAATTATTTTATATTTTGTTTGTAGTACAATATTACGTAAAACTGTGCTTTTTACCTATAAATGATAAAAAATTGCAAATGTCCATAAAAAGCTACAATTACAAGAACAATTTCATGTTTTATTAAAAAAATCTTCCTGTGACAGTTGACATTGTACTATTAAAACGTAAAATCAGAAAAAAACCATCAAATATGGTTTCACTAAAATGTAATTTACCCCCATAGGTCTTCCAACTATTCATAACGTACATTTACAACGACAATTTATTACTACAAAACCACATTGTGACGTTACGAACTTCGGATATCCGTGAGATCTGCTGGTTTAGAGCGGATTTTAGCATTCACTTGTTCATAAATTACACTCACTATTTACAAAAGACTTAGAGTACCATCCATGGAATTCACTAATTACTTCGCCACATTAGTCTACAATTCGCGTGTATTTTTTCTAGTTTTACTTTTTGGTTTCATATGCATATTTGAGTTTTGAAGATTCTGAGAATCAATTATAAGCAGCTATCGGTGAGTGTCTCGACGGAACAATACTGTTTGCTGAGTGGTGAAACAAACCTTGTTTCAACGGAAATGCAATGTACTTTCTGTGCGTTTAGACTCACTGCTCGAACGGCAAATTATTCCTTTGGAATATTTTCATGCCAGTCTAGAGCGACACGCTTTAGAGCGGCCGCCACGCTTGCGTACAATTGTTTTTATTGCTCGCCAAATTTTAGTACCGTTTTCATTAAAATAACGTCATTCACGCGACAGTGAACAACTCTAAAATTCACATGTCAGTGATCCCACTTTGTGGAGTAACTGAAGTTCACACAAACATTGAATTATGTGCTACTTCTGTAAATATGTTATATAATAACTTTGTTTACTTCATGCATTTCCATCCCTACTATCTTTGTCGCCCTTTCGCTTCTTGTTAGGTTGGTGACGCTGAGTGGAGGGAAGGGTAGTACAAATGAACACTTCGCTCATAACCAGAAGATCGCTAGGTTCTCCCGAACTTGTCAGCGAAAGGACAAATTATCTCACTTTCATTGATATACTGTACATCTCTCTGTAGTTCATTTCAATGACAATGAGACCTGCGCCATTTTTTTAAGTGTTTGCTACGCTATCCACGCTAAAGTTTATTCCAAAAATTTGGAGCCATTTTTACAAAATTTTGAAAATGATGTTGACGCTTCGTGTAAATTAGCTCCCCCTCCGAAAAATCAAAACATCCGTTTCAAACTCGCAGGGTGACGAGCTCCTTCGGATCGACTGGCGACTATCAATTTGTGAGAAAAGAGTCAAACGATTTAGGCGCTAGCATTGACCACAGACAGATAAACAGATAGACGGACGGTCAGACAAACTTTTCGCTGACAATCGGTATTTCGGTATCAATGACCTACAAAACATGGGTTCTGACAATACATCGTGATAAAGTAATTTACTACTTGCAGGAACAATATTTATCCGCTTTTTCTTTACCAGGGACCGGCGATTTTTCTGCCGAGAATCTACCGTTCTCTGGCACACTATTACAATACTTTCTCTTCTTACGAAGTAACGCACGAAAGTAAACGAAAAAAAAAATCATATATCTGCGTTCTGGTCGTATACCGTTTCTTTCCCCTCCGAAGTTGAAATTCTAGGCAGCTGTCTAGTGCGCCTAGGCAGACGTCCGTCGCTTGCTACAGCGGAGTGCGCACGCAGCGAGGCATGGACTTTACACTTCGCGGTTCCTGCCTGCGGCCGAGGAGCGGTCAGGTCGGTGCGCAAAACCGGAGCCCGACGCGGCGGCGGCTGCGAGGCGACGGAAAAACGATTAATGCGTGGCGGACGTCCTGGCGACGCAGGTTTTGTGATTGTAACTGTGTTCGTTAACGAGAAGAAATGCTCATGTTATTAAAATCCTTTCCTGGCGGACCACGTTCTACACAATTCTTAGGTTACGGAAATGGTCGCTCGAATGTAATCTGTACAGGACGGTAACGCAGGAAACATACAAAAGGTTTAACTGTCGATGAAAGTGAAACTTCTGAAACAATCACCACATTCGAGTTTTGTGAAGGAATACGTTTTGAACATTCTATGTGTTTTTCAGAAAAACATTAATGCAAATAGTTTACAATACGGCCAGGTTGTAAAGTAAAATACTCTTTCATTGACCGCAAAATAAAACGATTCTACTCAGATAAAATGCGTACTTCTGCAAAACTATTTTTTTATGTGTAATTTTTCTTGTGGGCCGTCGATATGAACATTAGTTGTGTTGAAAATGATACAATGCTGAATATATCGTGCTAAGGCTGCAACAGGAATCTGTCTTGAGAAACAACGAATTTTGAGTAATATTTTACATAATTTTAAAATAATTATTGGCAGATCTTCAATGAAGTATTTTAGTAACGTCTTACTTCCAAATCTAACAATAATAAGCGCGTAATACCTTCATTTCAACCGCCAGCGAAAAATAAGTAATTTATCATAAAATTCCAATTTTCGAATTGTGTCAGTATTGCAGCCCATAGACAATGCGTCTTCATGAGGTTGTCTGGTCGTTTTAACTTATTTTCAGGTTGATCTCCGTCGCATTGCAATGGAGAAAATAATAGTTTCGTATTTTGCTGGTAGAAAAGATGCACATCTAAACCTCGTTCTTAGAAATCCCTTACCATTCTTTCCTCCATGTTCCAAAATTTAGAAAACTAGATGTCCCTTAATGAGGAATGAAATGAGAGAAATGCGTGAATTGACATCCTATTGTACGTTGAAAAAATCTGAGAATGCTCGTAACGAAGAATTCTAAAGAAGAATACATGTGAAGTGAAATGCACATTATTTCCTAAATTTTACTAACTGAAGTGGCTCAGGGCACCAACTGATGTCACTACAGTGCTTTTGACCGGGTGGTATTAAAGTTCGTGTTCCGACGATGGAAAGATTTTCGATACGAGATAGATAGGTCGAATTCAACCGCTGTCTGTAGAAACATTCTAACGACCGGATGCTCTAATCAGCCGTTCAACGCCAGGCGCATGCCAAATCTTATCTCGTTACCAATCGACATTTAGAGTTCGCATCTATTTGTCTTTTCATCTTCAGTTCCGTAATGAAATATCGCAACATTCTTACGAGTACTGTATATGGTGTTATCCTTTTTTTATTACTTTCCCGTATACGTACGTATATACTAAGAAATATACGTAGTAAAGGGAAAGTTATGTAATGCTGCGGAAAATCGATTTCGTGGTTTCGACGGAAATGCTCGTTATGGGGTCTCCTGATAGCGAAAAAGTGTGTTTCTTTTCAAACCCTCCGTCCGTCCATCCGTCCGTCTGGTGTGTGTGAACACTACAAGCGCCAAAACCATTCGTAGGAATTTTTATAAATTAAAAAAAACCCGTGTCGATCTGGATCGAGTCCAGTCTTTGTGATTTTAAAAAAAAATCTTTAAAATTTGGTGCGTACTTTACATGAAGTCCTGCGGACAGTTACAAATTTTTTTCAAAAACGGCTCCAAATGTTTTCTTTAAATTTCTTGTAAGTATAGAGTAACATAGGCTTATAAGGATGGCATAGGTCCGATTTTCACAGTCATTAAGGTCATGCACATTTTTTGAAAATATTGGTTTTCGCGCAATATTGCGTGCAATATGTGCAAACAAAAAAAAAAAACAAAACAAAAACAAGCTATTATCAAAAAGGGTTCCAATTTTTTTCTTTAAACTTTTGGTGGGGATAGTGCTAAATTAACTCTATAAGATAACATTAACGCCATATTCCTCTATTTTTTTGTTTTTTCAAAAATTACAAAAATGTAATTTTTTTGACTTATCTCTCATGTCGTTAATATTTGTATTAGTGCCAATTTGTTCATATTATTGCATTTATGAGTGCATGTGCTTTAAATAATGTCATATAAAGTTTCGGATGTCGAATAGTCGAAAGGTCGAATAGCTAACCGAAACCAAAGGAAACAGAAAAAACAAATGCGAGAGTCTGTGCCATTCTGTAGCACCACTAGTTTATACCCCGACTCCGCCCCAGATTCTCCTGAAACGTCAGAGCTCCCACGCCGTCGCGTGGCGTGCTGGCGCCTCGACCGGCGGGCGCTCCCTTGATTACTGACGCATTGCGACATGCGTTGTTTGTGTGTGACGCGTGAGCAGCATGGCGATCGACACGCGTGACGCTGCTGCCGTGCGTGTCTGCGCCGGGATGGGAGAGGTGCTGCACACGTTCCCCTAATGCTTTGACTATGCATCTATTATTTTGAATGGATTTTGTCTTTATTGCTAGGGTTTTTTTCCAGCCAGCTACCATTAACGTCTCGATGGGTCGCAGATTCGGCCGTATAATAGACTGCTCTGATGTGGTTCCAGCAGGACGCGAGGGCGTTCGCGACAACACATACACGAGAGACAAGAGACTAACACCCATGCGCAAGACGGGACTCAAACCCGCGACCTTTCAGACCGAAGTGCTGAGTTGGTACATGATCTTAGCCACCTCGGCCATCTAGGTAAGCTTTTATCGGAATTCATTTTTTAGTATCAAACCGGCTAAGTTTAGCTCAGAGTCTGTTTACCACTGCTTTTGCTGTGGCTCTGACCGGGAGGTCATGTGGTTCGAGTAGCGACGGTGGCGGATTTTCGACAATAGCGAGATAGGTGAATTCAGCGGCTGTCTAGAGCAGAATTCTAGACGCCGGTGACTCTGATAGGTAGTTTTCCGTGTTTTGTCCAATCATTACCAGGCAAATTCCGGAGAAGTACCCTAACAAAGGGCCCCTGAGAGCGCGCGATCTTTCCTTCCTCTTCCTTACCCTATCCTGTATCCCTCCTTACACGTACACTTGCATGCACTACACTACCATTCATGTCGGGAGATTTCTGGAGGGGAAAATCCACCGCAAGCCGACATGTAGATGGACCCGGATCTCATCATCCAACGTAGGAGAACATCGACACATTCCACAATAAAACATTCACTACACAAACGGGACTATCCCCATCCAGGTATCTTCCACTAACGGGGCTCCGCACCAGCCAGGACAAGCTCTAAAAGTAGTACACTTGCACGCATGTTAGTGTGGTAAGTAATGCATGTAAAATGTTTAATGTGTAATATAAGTGTGTACTCGTTAGAAAGAGGTGACGATAGGATAAGGAAACGGTAGAAAAATCCCGCGCGGTCCGTGACCCGTTTGTCACTGCACTACTCCGGCATTCGCCTGGCATTGATAGAAGAAAACACGGAAAACTATATTCTGATTCGAGCAGCCGCTCTCTAGAATGCTCCTCCAGACACCGGTCAAATTCGTCCAAGCTAGCATAGCTAGTGTCGAAAATGCACCAGTCTGGTCTCGAACCGTAGGACCTCCAGGCCAGAGGCACTGCTGTGACACCAGTTGATACCCTTAGACACATCAGTCGGTAATTTGAATTGTGACGTTACCCTCTTTCTCTCGGTTTACTTACTTATTCATACAATATTGTAGCCATATTGTTGTTTTCTTTTTCACTGAAAACACCTCCCGGAAAAGAAATCCTTTTCTAAAATTATTCTTTTCTTCACTCTCAAATTCTGTATCCCACCCTCCTGCTTGAAATGTGATCCACCGCTGCGAATACGGTATTCATGAGGAAATGAATAATTGTCGGACAATTAGCGAGGGGGAGGCGGAGATTCCAAGATCTGCCAGTAAGTCGTATTTTACAACAAAGGTTGCAAGCACCTCAATTCGTCACCGAATCTCGGGCCTGCCGGAAACCGTTGGCTCGTGTGCGCCGCCTGGGCAGGAGGCGCGACTC